GTCACCTGCTTTGAAAATAGGTATCACATTTGCCATTTTCCACTTATCTGGCACCATGCCAGTTTGTAGTGATATGTTGAAAAGATTAGCCAAAGGTGTGCTAAGCTCCTCTTTGCATTCCTTTAGAACCCTTGCATACAGTTCATCAGGGCCTGGGGATTTGTTAGGTTTTAATTTATCTATTTGCCTAAGGACCATGTCACTTGTGACCCTAATCGTGCACAGTTTATTATCGTCCTGTTCTACATAATTTATCATTACTGGAATATCGCTGGTATCCTCCTGTGTAAAGACTGAGAGGAAGTATGTGTTAAAAATTCTACACATTTCCTTATCACTGTCAGTGAACTGACCCGAGGAACTTTTGAGTGGGCCTATCTTGTCCCTGATCTTACTTCTGTATACCTGAAAGAATCCTTTTGGGTTAGTCTTCGATTCTCTTGCAACTTTAACCTCATAATCTCTTTTTGCTTTTCTAATTCCCTTTTTTATTTCTCTCTTTAACTGAATATATCGATTTCTTAATTGCCCCTCTCCTCTTTTGATTTGCCTATATATGCCTCTCTTTTGACCAATCAGATATTTTAATCTATTGTTCATCCATTTAGGATCATTTTTGTTTGATCTGATTTCCCTATTTGGAACATAATTTGACTGAGCAGCTAGAACTATGCCCTGGAAAGCATCATATCGGCAACCATCACCACCTACCTGACCCTTAGTCAGGTCATTCCAGTTCAGCCCACCTAAGTAATTTTTCAGTCCTATGAAATCAGCCAAGCAAAAGTCAGGGACGGAGACTTGATTGCCATTATTAGGGGAATTCCATGATATATTAAAACTGAGTGATTTGTGATCACTTTCCCCAAGCTCATCATTAACCCTACTGGCAAGAACCAAGTCAAGGAGGTTATTTCCTCTAGTTGACTCTGTCACAAACTGTTTTAAAAAACAATCCTGGATCGTATCAAGAAAGTCACCTGACTCTAAATTTCCTGTCAAATTGCTCCAGTCAATCTGTCTGTAGTTGAAATCTCCCATTACCACAACATTTTCGTATGTAGATGCCTTACGAATTTCGTCCCATAGAAGTTTACTGCACTCCCTTTCAAGATTTGGGGCCCTGTAAATCACACCCAAAATTAGTTTTTCTCGGCCCTCGAGAAGCTGTGACCAAACAGATTCAGTGGCTGACACTTCTACTTTTATATCTTGTCTAACACAACAATTTAAATTGTCTCTGACATACATCGCTACTCCACCACCCTTCCTGTTGACCCTGTCAGTGTGGAATAATTTATAGCCTTGTATGTGACATTCAGAGGGCATCTCTCTATCTTTCAGATTGAGCCAGGTCTCTGTTATAGCAATAATATCTATGTTTCCTGCACTTGCAATTAATCTTAGCTCATCTATCTTATTTCTTACACTCCTGCTATTAGTATAGTAAACCTTAAGGGAGCTAGTCCCTTGCTGTCCTCTGCTGTCCCCCTTTGTTTGCTGACCTGATCTATTGTCTTTATTTATAACTTCATGCTGAATGCCTTTTATACATTATAACTTCATGCTGAATGCCTTTTATACATTTACTAATTCCAACCCAAGTGTTGCAACCTGCTTGTTTCCCACATACACCCATACCTCTATCTTCTATCAGTTTAAAATCATAGGCATTTCACCAATGGCCTTCTCAATTGAGTTTGCAAGTGCTACCACCCCAGCCCCAGAGAGATGTACCCCATCCCTTGCATACATATCATGTTTGCCATAAAAGTTGTTCCAGTTGTCAATGAATGGGATTGCAAGTTCCTTGCAGTATCTGTCTAGCCAGCAATTTACACCAATTGCCCTAGACAACCATTCATTTCCTACTCCCCTTCTAGGCAAGATGCTACATATGATTGGGACCCCTCCCTTAGACTTAATGAAATCTATAGCTGACCTGTACTTACCTAGCAGCTCTTCTCTCCTACCCTTCCCAACATCATTTCCACCAGCACTGAGACAAATAATGGGCTCGTTCCCATTACCTGACATGATATTATCCAGCCTGTCAACTATGTCCCCAACACCAGCTCCAGGGAAGCACTCTCTATCTCTCATCTTCTTATTCCTATTACAAAAAGCACGGTCAGTATATCTTACCTGAGAGTCACCAACCACAAGAATGCGCTCACCTCTGTTAGCAGGGGCAGTAGTACCCTTACCTTCACTGGCCACTGAAGTACATTCATCCTGAAGAACAGAGAAGCGATTTCCTACCTTCAGATCTTCACTCTTAACTTTCCTTACTCTGATGCGCCTCCCATTACTGTGAACCACTCGCCACTTGTAGCAGGTGCTGAACTGCACCTCATTGCTGGTAGCCATTGCTACCTCCCCACCTACAGCCTCCTCACAGCGAGAGACAGACTGCACCTCACTGCTAAAGCCTCATTCCCCACAACTCACTCTCTCCCAGACCCACTGAGGTGGACCTTCAGCCTCCTAATCTCCTCCTGGAGAAGCAAGACCTCCTCCTTCAACTCTCCAACCTCAATTTTTAAAACACTGCAGAAGCAATGGTGCACCTGTTTTGCATTCCTTGAGTGATTGTGAAATAAGATGAATTGTGATATATAAATATGCTGTAGAGTTGATATTAGCATCATATTGAAGTATTTTGTCGTGCCTCCTAAGAGCAGGAATTCCGCTGGAATGGATTAATGCCATTTCAATTAATTTAAATGAGGAAAATTGACTCAGCATACAAACGAGGTCACGGAACGGATTAAATTCGTGAGCCGAGGTTCCACTGTATTTATTTACAGTAATTATTTGTAAATTTACTTATTCAGTAACAGTAGTTATTTACTTATTTATCATGTATTCGACTTAGGATATTTTTAACTTACAATGGGTTCATCAGAATGTAACCCTATTCTAAGTTGAGGAGCATCTGTACCTATTTGACGCCATTTTAGAATACAAAGGCACAATATTGCAACTGGAATGACACAAATAACCTGCACATAGGAGAGAGAAATTTACAATAACATTTCAGTCCAAGTTAGACCATAAACTAGTAACTAATGAGCAGTTAATGGTCCGAGTTGAACCGAGTTGGACTGTGTTGTGAAGAAAAATTTCAGAGTACAATTTAGCGGAAACTTCGATAGACGAAGATCATTTCTTTGTGTGTTAATTAACCCTTTCAGGGTCGACAGGCCCTCTCAGCAATAAGCCAAATTTCAAAAAAAAAAAAAATAATTTTTTCTTATGAAAAGATAGAGAATCTTTTCCCGATCACAATGACACCAAAAGTATGAAATTTGATGGAAAACTTATGGAATCATGCTCTCGCGAAGTTAGCGGTCTCGACGATTTTGCCCACTTTGAGCCCTATTTTCGGCCAATTCCAGTGTACTTGAACTCCATTTTTTCTATCGAATGAGTACAAGAAACCACTCATTTACCGATTTCAACTATCCAATACAGTGATCAGAATTTAGCAATTTTGCCAATTTCACAGAAATTTCAAAAGTTGCCAATTTCTAAATAGGGTCCAGAATAAACAAGGAAGACATTCCTGGCACTAAAATAACATTTCTTCTGTTCATCAGTCACGTTTCAAGGCTCCTCTTACATTCTTTTGCTTTCCACTTTGAATTTTTATTCTCACAAAAAATAGAAGATTTACTGTTATGCAGACTACTGCATTACTGTAGAAATTGTATAAATAATATCAGCGCACTTGTGAAAGAATATTAGACTCACCAGTTGACGTATATTGGACGCTTGGCATGATTTGTTTACTTTTGAACTTTGGTAAAAATCGAACATTTCTGCTACTTTGAGCTCAATTTCAAGGTACTTTTCATTATGAAGCCAATCAAAATCATCTCAATTTCTGTAATATGTCTTCCATTCTATAAAATGAGACCAGGAAAACTAGAATACAACAATAAATACCATACGAAAATACAGTGCAAAGTCGCTGTTTTCATCCAAAAACACGGTTGGAGTTTTTTTTTCTCATTACACACTGTGTGCTGCAGGTTTTTTTTTATACCATGCACACTGACCACATAGACCCATTCTTTCATATGTAGGCCTACCAGCTTTTTCTCGCTAGATTTGAGGGTGCGTAAGCCGTACTAGTACGGCCGAAACCCTGAAAAGGTTAAAGAGCTCTGTTACATACTCAAAATATTGGCTCCTAGTTTTGAGATTACTATATTATTATTATTATTTTATTATGTATTTTTATTTATTATTAATGGGGAAGCAAAAATATATGTAGGGGTCACATAGTATCTAGGGAATGGGAGGTAATCAAGTTTGATGCAAAGAAGGGGAGTTTAGCTCTACTTCCTTGGATCAAGAGTCCTTCACTAGCACCAAAGCAATTTTTTGCACATGTGATTGAAAATGTGCAATGAAAATTAAATATGTTAGGCCTATTAAATTTTGGATGCACTTCTATAATTGCATTTGAAAAAAAATGTATGCTGTGTGTCGTTCAGAGGGTCATTTAAATTGTCAAGTCACATCACCTCAGGCAAGACGACTAGCTAATAGATATTTTTTCTAACACTCTGGCTGTCTCCCGCCGAGGCAGAGTGACCTGTAAAAGAAACGCTTTCATCATCATTCTCACTATCCGTGTCTTGCCAGAGGCATGACAATCAGGAGATGAACCTTATATTTCTGTTGTGGTCTGTCCTGGACTATTGTCAAATCATAACTGAGGGAGAAAAAGCAGAGGCCAGAAAATAGAATGGGATGTAGGAAGATCTGGAATATTGGTGAATATTTCTTTTGGGATCAAAATCCATCTACCTGGAGGGCGTTCTGGGGGTCAACGCCCCCATGGCCCGGTCCATGACCAAGCCTCGTGGTGGATCAGGACCTGATCAACCAGGCTGTTACTGCTGGCCGCATGTAAATCAACGTAGGAACCACTGCCTGGCTGGTCAGATTAGAGAAAATTATGTTACCACCTTCTTTTTTATTTTCAGGCCAGACGATGAACGCTGGCACGTGGAAACGGAGAGGCGGGAACAAAATATTCGGAGTCACCTGACGATCATCCGTGTCAGCTTGCACGACTCTGGCCACTATCACTGCCATATTACCAAACTAAACAAAGATAAAATCGGGGAGAAAAATGTCACTATTCATGTACAGGGTAAGTGTTTGCTGCAGGAAAGTGTCACTATTCATGTACAGGGTAAGTGCTGCAGGAAAGTGTCACTATTCATGTACAGGGTAAGTGTTTGCTGCAGGAAAGTGTCACTATTCATGTACAGGATAAGTGTTTGCTGCAGGAAAGTGTCACTATTCATGTACAGGGTAAGTGTTGCAGGAAAGTGTCACTATTCATGTACAGGGTAAGTGTTTGCTGTAGGAGAGTGTCACTATTCATGTACAGGGTAAGTGCTGCAGGAAAGTGTCACTTCATGTACAGGGTAAGTGTTTGCTGCAGGAAAGTGTCACTATTCATGTACAGGGTAAGTGCTGCAGGAAAGTGTCACTTCATGTACAGGGTAAGTGTTTGCTGCAGGAAAGTGTCACTATTCATGTACAGGGTAAGTGCTGCAGGAAAGTGTCACTATTCATGTACAGGGTAAGTGCTGCAGGAAAGTGTCACTATTCATGTATAGGGTAAGTGTTTGCTGCAGGAAACAGAACAGTTATTAGGCTAGGTAAGGTTTGTCAGGAAAGAGGACAGTTGGTAGGTAAGGTTAGGTAAGGATTGTCAGGAAACAGGACAAGTGTTTCCTGAAGCAGGTCTTAGTTATATGATGACCCACAATTGGTGCTTTTGGTCATCTGACTGAGGCCTTCCACTGGTTGACCAGTGGAAATTGTGATTTTTAACTGATAACTGAATTTGTGTTTTCATTTTGCATTTTCAGTCAATGCAGCTGAAGTTATTGTTTGCCACTGACAGCGATGGCATAAATACCCAGGAGTCTTTAAAAGGAGTGGTGTACAGTATGTTATGTAACCTTATTTGTGTAAATAACTCGCTGGCTAGCTGGACTTGAGTCCTGGAGGTGGGAAGTACAGTGCCTGTACCCTGAAGGATGGGTGAGGATGTTACAGTTCTGGAGGTGGGAAGTACAGTGCCTGTACTCTGAAGGATGGGTGAGGATGTTGCAGTTCTGGAGGTGGGAAGTACAGTGCCTGTACCCTGAAGGATGGGTGAGGATGTTACAGTTCTGGAGGTGGGAAATACAGTGCCTGTACCCTGAAGGATGAGTGAGGATGTTACAGTTCTGGAGGTGGGAAGTACAGTGTCTGTACCCTGAAGGATGGGTGAGGATGTTACAGTTCTGGAGGTGGGAAGTACAGTGCCTGTACCCTGAAGGATGAGTGATGTTACAGTTCTGGAGGTGGGAAGTACAGTGCCTGTACCCTGAAGGATGGGTGAGGATGTTACAGTTCTGGAGGTGGGAAGTACAGTACCTGTACCCTGAAGGATGGGTGAGGATGTTACAGTTCTGGAGGTGGGAAGTACAGTGCCTGTACTCTGAAGGATGGGTGAGGATGTTACAGTTCTGAAGGTGGGAAGTACAGTGCCTGTACCCTGAAGGATGAGTGAGGATGTTACAGTTCTGGAGGTGGGAAGTACAGTGCCTGTACCCTAAAGGATGAGTGAGGATGTTACAGTTCTGGAGGTGGGAAGTACAGTGCCTGTACCCTGAAGGATGGGTGAGGATGTTACAGCTCTGGAGGTGGGAAGTACAGTGCCTGTACCCTGAAGGATGGGTGAGGATGTTACAGTTCTGGAGGTGGGAAGTACAGTGCCTGTACCGTGAAGGATGGGTGAGGATGTTACAGTTCTGAAGGTGGGAAGTACAGTACCTGTACCCTGAAGGATGAGTGAGGATGTTACAGTTCTGAAGGTGGGAAGTACAGTGCATGTACTCTGAAGGATGGGTGAGGATGTTACAGTTCTGAAGGTGGGAAGTACAGTGCCTGTACCCTGAAGGATGAGTGAGGATGTTACAGTTCTGGAGGTGGGAAGTACAGTGCCTGTACCCTGAAGGATGAGTGAGGATGTTACAGTTCTGGAGGTGGGAAGTACAGTACCTGTACCCTGAAGGATGAGTGAGGATGTTACAGTTCTGGAGGTGGGAAGTACAGTGCCTGTACCCTGAAGGATGAGTGAGGATGTTACAGTTCTGGAGGTGGGAAGTACAGTGCCTGTACCCTGAAGGATGGGTGAGGATGTTACAGTTCTGAAGGTGGGAAGTACAGTGCTTACTCCATCACTGGCAAGACAGTGATGGAGTGAGTGATGGTGAAAGTATTTTTTTGTTCCTTTTTTTGGGGTCACGTTGCCTCAGTGGGAGACAGCCATTATGTTAAAAAAAAAAAAAGAGAGGGAAGTTTAAACAGTATTTTTTGTCCTCGAGCATTTTTGAAGCCCAGTTCTGACTTGATAATGTTCAGAGATAAACTGAAATTTAGTGTTTATTGCTAGTTCTTTTCAAAGATAATTTATATATACAGAAGATAGATTGATAAAGGTTTTTATGTATCATATTCTACCCAGAGTTAACCAGTTATAAAATGAAGAAGGTAAAGGTTATTAGTAATTTTACAGATATTCATGTTATAATTTATATTTTTTAGTAAATCTATTTGTTGATTGTTTTGGGAGTTACTGTCCTCAAGGCCCAGTCCTAGACCAGACCTAATGGTTGATCAGTCAGGCTATTTGTGTTGGTAGCTCTCAACTTCAACATAAGCACCACTGGAAACATAAACACACATGCAGTTTAATGTGATCCTTTATTGACAACGTTTCACCCACACAGTGGGCTTTTTCAAGTCACAAACAAATCTGTTTGTGACTTGAAAAAGCCCACTGTGTGGGCGAAACGTTGTCAATAAAGGATCACATTAAACTGCATATGTGTTTATGTTTCCATTGTGTCAGTATTTTATACCATTTATTTTCATAAGCACCACTGTCACACTAATCAGGGACTGTCTAGAGGAACATGTCAAGGCCCCTCTTGAAGACAATTCCCTTTATATACGGAAGGAGCATGTTGAAAAGTCTTGGATCCTTGAATTTTTTCAGTGCATACTCTGTTTCACCTGACAGCTGGACCCATGTTGATGGAGGCACGAAACGCTACAGTACGTGTGGGTCACAAGGCCAAACTTTCGTGCACTTTTGCTGCCGTCCCTGCACCTGAAGTTCATTGGTTGAAGGACAAAATGATGCTGGATAAAGTGAAGGGGTGAGTACTTTTAAATTAATAGCAAAATAGAAACTAGCCACAGAACAGGTGGGGTTTGAACCCCATGATGGCAGCTTTCAGGGGACTTGAGCTAAAGTTTGTCACAGTCATGTTGGCTGGAGATTCATCTGTAAAAACTTGCTTATGTGGTCACATTAGTGGCCCATGCTAACCTCTCTATGATGTATAAATATACCTAGTTGATTGAATCCTATTATAGCCAGCTGGCCCAGTGGTTAACGCACTGGCCTTGAGCTTAAAGACTCACTTGCCATGGGTTCAAAGCCCACCCGTTTTGTGGTTTGTTTGCAATTGTGTCATGCTTTCATGAATAAGAACTGAGCAGAGGTCGAGGAACTGGGGTAAATTACCCAGAATGGGGTAAAAATGAAAATCTGGGGTAATGGAGGCTCATTAACCCGTAAACGGTCCAAACGTATATATACGTTTTTTCAACATTTGAAAGTATGTAAAAAAAAAAGTAGATCTTTTTTGTTTTCCCCTCAAGGAAGGTTCCTTGATGTTGGTGAGGGGCTCTTGATTTAGGGAATTGGATCTGTGCTCCAGTTCCCCGAATTAAGCCTGAATGCCTTCCACATCCCCCCCCCCCAGGCGCTGTATAATCCTCCGGGTTTAGCGCTTCCCCCTTGATTATAATAATAATAATAATCTTTTTTGTTTTGTACATTTGAAAATGTGTAAAAAACTTTGATCTACTGTTTTTTTTGTTATATTTGAAAATATGTAAAAAAAAAAATAGATCTACTTTTGGCGCACTACGGATATGAACGTAGATCTGCTTGGACCGTTTACGGGTTAAACATATAAATAAAATTTTTAAAGTTGCTTTATCATGTATAATACAAACTTTACAGCTTGTATGACTGTATTCTCCATACAAATAGATTCAGTAAAATATTTTGAATTTGAGTTTTCTGGATTCTGTGGATTTTAAAGTCTAGTGGGGAACTTCCCCTGTATACAGATTTGTTTTGGTTAATACCCGAAAAAAAAATAATAATATTAATAATAATAATAATAATAAAGGTAAATAATAATAAAGATTCTCATTTTCAAAAAATAAATATTCCAGAAAAATCTTGGTAAATGTTTTGTACTCTTGATATGGTTGCCGGTGTTTCCTTTCTGTCTCGAGAACATTAACAGATACAGTATTTTCCAGCATATAGGGTGTGCCTTTTTTCCCAAGAAAAGTCTTGGGGAATCACCTTGTGCCTTGTATGATCCAGGTCAGGGTCAAGGGCAGGCTTTGGGTTACTGGTAAGGGGTGTTTTATAAAGGGTCATGCAGTTCATTATAAAGTTGTAATACTCGTAATGCTCATGCGCCTCGTGTGCCGGAATACAGTGGACCCCCGCTTAACGATCACCTCCAAATGCGACCAATTATGTAAGTGTATTTATGTAAGTGCGTTTGTACGTGTATGTTTGGGGGTCTGAAATGGACTAATCTACTTCACAATATTCCTTATGGGAAAAAATTCGGTCAGTACTGGCACCTGAACATACTACTGGAATGAAAAAAGTTCGTTAACCGGGGGTCCACTGTATATGGTAAAGTAAATTATTATACGTTACTGTTTGTTGTGACTGTGTAAACTAGTGCTGAAAATCTTGGGAATACGGATATGGTACAACACCTCAAAGATAGTCACTAGAAGTTGTAAACAAAAATTCTTCATGAAATCAACTTAGAAAAAACTTAGAGAGAGCTTTTCCGGTATGCACTCAACTATGACCAGTTTGAGATAAGTGTCTTGGACTATGTTTTTACCCCAGCCTTCTTTCCAGGCACACCATTGAAACGCGACAAGAATCGGAGCTTCACTTGTCTGATTTATTAATTGACAATGTCACCCTTAAAGACAATGGAACGTACAAGTGTAGAGCCTCGAATGAAATTGGTGCTGGGAACCAAGAGGGTTATCCGTATCTTCTTGTCCAGGGTAAGTGCTTGCTTTTTTCATTCACAAAAATTTTACGCAGTGTAAATTACTTGGATTATAATGGATATTGAGGGACATCTAAACTGTTGTATCTGTGTACCTTTGGAAAGACAGTGATAGTGTAAATGATGGTGAAAGTGTTTCTTTTTTTGGGTGATCCTGCCTCGGTGGGAGATGGCAAGTGTGCTAAAAAATAAAAATGGGGAAGTGGGTTAGAATCCTTCCTCCATAAGCCATGCATGTTGTAAGACGCGACTAAAATGCCGGGAGCAAGGGGCTAGTAACCCCTTCTACCGTATAAATTACTAAATGTGAAAGGAAGTCAGAATTGAGGTTTCTTCTTTTTTGGGTCACCCTGCCTTGGTGGGAGATGGCTGCTGGACGTCTCCCACCAAGGCAGGAAGACATGAAAAAGAAACACTTTCACCATCATTCACATTATCACTGTCAGCATCACCAGAGTGGTGACACTGAGATGAATGCTAGTCATGTGGTGGGGGTGTGGCAAGACTGTCTTTAAATGTGTGAAGGTGCATGATCCTTATTCGTCATCTCAAATAATGCATTGTGTAAAGTTTTCATATTAACCTGAGAAATGTTATCATTTTCAAGTATAATTTTCTTCATGTCATTAAAGATATTATTTTGAAATGCTTGTCATTATAAAGATTTTTTCTTTCAATAAGCTGGTCATCTCCCACTGAGACAGGTTGACCAGAAAAAAAAGAAAATACGTACAGTGGACCCCCGCCTTACGAACACATTGTGTTACGTTAAATCCGCCATACGAAGCATTTGAACGCAAAAATTTTGCCTTGCCTCACAATAAAAAACTCGCCTTACGTGATTTGTCCGGGACGTGTCCCATGTGTGGCCTCAGTGCCAGTGTTTACAAGCCAGCCAGTGCGGTTGCATCTACGCATACATTCAGTACATTTCACATTATCCCAGTGTTTTTAGTGCTTGTAACTGCAAAATAAGTCGCCATGGACCCCAAGAAAGCTTCTAGTGCCATCCCTGTAATAAAAAGGGTGAGAATTAGCATGGAATTGAAAAAAGAGATTAAGGAAATGTGTGCAAAGTGGGTTGAACTGCAAACCTTTATGGATGAAAATCACCCTGACACAGCTACTGCAAGCCATGTTGGCAACCTTTACACTGACAATGTTATGGCCCATTTTAGGAAAGTCTTAAAGGAACGGGAGGTACAGAGCTCTATGGGCAGATATGTTGTACGACAGAGGTCCAGTGACTCTCAAGCTGGTCCTAGTGGCATTAAAAGAAGAAGGAAAGTAACCCCGGAAAAGGACTTGCTACCTCAAGTCCTAATGGAAGGGGATTCCCCTTCTAAACAATAACTTCCACAATCTCCCCTCCTCCCATCCCATCAATCATCACCAGATCTTCAGTAAAGGTAAGTGTCATGTATTCTATTCTCAGTAGAGTAGTAATTTGCATGTCTTCTTCAGTTTGTGTGTATTAGAGTTAATATTTCATGTGGTAAAATTTTTTTTTTTCAGACTTTGGGGTGTCAGGAACAGATTAATTTGATTTCCATTATTTCTTATGGGGAAAATTAATTCAGCTAACGATAATTTCGGCTTACAATGAGCTCTCAGGAACAGATTAATATCGTAAGGCGGGGGTCCACTGTATAAAGTTTTTCTTTTTACATTTAGTAATGTGTACAGGAGAAGGGTTACTAACCCCTTGCTCCCAGCATTTATACAGAAGGGGCTACTAGCATTTTGTTCCTGGCATCTATACAGGAGAAGGGGTTACCAGCATCTTGTTCCTGGCATCTATACAGGAGAAAAGGTTACTAGCATCTTGTTCCTGGCATCTGTACAGGAGAAGGGGTTACTAGCATCTTGTTCCTGGCATCTATACAGGAGAAAGGGTTACTAGCATCTTGTTCCTGGCATCTGTACAGGAGAAGGGGTTACTAGCATTTTGTTCCTGGCATCTATACAGAAGGGGTTACCAGCATCTTGTTCCTGGCATCTATACAGGAGAAAGGGTTACCAGCATCTTGTTCCTGGCATCTATACAGGAGAAAGGGTTACTAGCATCTTGTTCCTGGCATCTGTACAGGAGAAAGGGTTACTAGCATCTTGTTCCTGGCATCTATACAGGAGAAAGGGTTACTTGCTCCTGGCATTTTAATCACTTCTTACGAAACACATGGCTTACAGAGGAAGAATTCCATTTACGTTTTGTATACACAGATAACTTGCACATAGGAGAAGGAAAGTTGTGATGACATTTGGGTCTGATTTTAAACCACTAACTAATGATTTTTGGAACCATATTTACATCAGTATTTGAAGTCCCATGTAATTTTTTTTATTCTCTTGCAGATTTGCCTGAGGTGAACTTAACAAAAGTTCGTGCTATTGGCACCAGTGAGATACAGTTAGAGTGGACTGTCAATGACAACAACTCTCCAGTACAGCAGACGAAGATCTATGTAAGTTTTTCAGTCTCCCTGTTTAAACTCTGAAGAATGTTTTAGTTTTCCTCCCTAGGAAGAGGTTTTAATTTTTAACAAACTTGAATTTTAAAGGAGGGTTTAGAGATATTTGATATTTGGAGGGACATCTAAACTGTGTGTGTGTGCCTCTGGTAAGACATTGATGGTATGTATGATGGTGAAAGTGATTCTTCTTTGGGTCACTCTGCCTCAGTGAGAAACAGCCAAAATGTTTAAAAAAATTAAAAGAATTTTAACTGGCTCGTATCACTCCACTTCCTGAGTGTCAGAGTGGTGTTGTGAGTGGAAATCAGTCAGGGGATGCTCAGTCTAACCTCTGCTCTACATTCCTCCAATGCAAAGCAGGGGTGCCAAGAGTACACCAAGAGACAACACAGTAAGTGTTAGGGGCCCAAGACTGTTTAACGCCCTCCCAGCATACATAAAGGAGATTACCAATAGACCCCTGACTGTCTTCAAGGTGCTAGACAGGCACCTAAAGTCAGTACCTGACCAGCTGGACTATGGTTCCTATGTCGGTTTGCATGCAGCCAGCAGTAACAGCCTGGTTGATTAGGCTCTGATCCACCATGAGGCCTGGTCTCAGACTGCACTGTGGGGGCATTGACCCCCAAAACCCTCTCCAGGTATACTTCAGGTATACAGGAAAAACTGACTTTGAGATTGAGGTTTCTGTTATACCACTACCGGATGGAGGGGCAAAATTACACTTCTAGTTGGTCATCCACAAAAGTTTAGTGTTTCATATTAGATTTTTTTGCACACTGGTCATTTCCCACTGAGGTAGGGTGACTCAAAAAGTAGAATCACATTTGCCATCATTCATTCAATTGCTGTCTTGCCAGGAGTGTGCTGACATCACAGTCCAGATTACCTCTTGAACTGCAGTATCCCTCACTCATCTTCCAGAGTGCAGGCACTGTACTTCCCACCTCCCTTTCCTCCAGAGTGCAGGCACTGTACTTCTCACCCCCCTCTCCTCTAGAGTGCAGGCACTGTACTTCCTACCTCCCACTCCTCCAGAGTGCAGGCACTGCCCTTCACACCTTCAGGATCGCCCTATAATGTGATCCTTTACTATGTTTCGCCCATACAGTGGACTTTATCAAGTCACAGACAGATTTTTGGAATGTAAATTAAACTTCTCAAAACTTTTGTTCAGCATAGAATGAAGTATTACATATAAGATACTATGACCCCATATCCCCATTGTTCTTTCCATGTTTTTAGTGAAGTTGATTGGCGATTTTTAACCAATGAAGCATTGAACAAGCTCCTTAAATGTTCCTTGTACTGCATTGATCATTTCAAACTCAAAGAAAAAGAACACATTGCCCATCACTCGTTTAATGGCTGTGATGTCAAAAGTGCATGTCATAAGGTTAAGGTTTATAATGTATTTTTCATCTTGTAGACGGCCACCGGTGACAGCGAGTTTGATGAACCTTCATTGCTTGCTGAGGAGCAACAGAACATCATACTGGAGGACGTGGGTTCTCCTGGTGAGGAAGTTCGGGTAAAACTGGAGGTCATTAACGAAATCGGAGCTAGCGAGAGCAGCCCAGAAACGGTTACTCTTCTCAGTGAAGGTAAGTTATCACCTTGTACAGATATCTTGAGCAGTGTTGGTAGTACAGCAGGTGCTCATCGACTTACAATGGGGTTACATTCCAGTGAATTCATCATAAGTTGAAATATCGAAGGTCTGATGTGAATACAGCCTCTCCTCACGTAGCAACATATTTGTTTACCAACGACTCGGACTTAGGACGGGCTCTGACCAGTATGCATACCTAAATAATGTGTATTAGAGCTGATTTCCTCTTTTCTGTTTATTACAATATACAGTACACTACTGTATAAACATTTAAAAATATTCTAAAAATGTTAGAAATAGAGAAAAGGTGACATTAAAACAGTATCAAAGATGGTTGACACAAAACCACTACCATTACAGTATGATCCTCACTTAGCGAGGAATTCGTTTACCAACGAGGTCTTAGGAACGGAACTCCATCGTTAAGTGAGGAGAGGCTGTGTATGATAAATAAATAAGTGAATAAATAACTACTGTCACTGAATAAGTAAATAAATAAATAATTACTATAACTAAATACCAGTATTGAAAAGTAAATAAATGTATACAAGTCTATCCTATCAGTAAATATACAGTACTGTGTGGTACCCAAAAAACAAATGTGCATCACTATCACACCATCGTAAAATCAAAATATTGTAAGTCGAACCATTGTAACGTGAGGAGCACCTGTACAGTAAACACTAGTCACTGAAGAGGGCATCAGTCAGTGGTCAAAATATGCAACCTCTCTTTACTTTTTGTTGTATTTATGGCCCAACACAGACTTATTCACTGTAAATGAAGCATGTATAATAAAATCAATGTCTCAAAATGGGTTTCTCCATCTCATTATTATGATGTAGTGTAAGACATCCACAGAAAGTGTAAGACATGCAGATAACCCAAACATAGGAGAAAGAAACTTACGACTACATTTCAGTCTGACTTGGACCATTAATTAGCCACATGTATGACTAGTTAATGGTCCGAGTTGGACCAAATTGTCGTCATAAGTTTCTTTCTCATATGTGCTGGTTATTTCTGTATTGTGGAAAAAGGCACTTATGAAGTTCAGAACATTTATTAGAGGAAATATTCTGCCACTAGTGAGTTGTTCTGTCCTAGGGCTAAAGAAGCTACTCATGGCAAAGCATTTCCTATAATAAATGTCCTAAACTGTGTATTTTCCACATGTTGGTATCGCGTGACCATTTCTTATTTGTGTATTGCTCCAGTAACAGTATTGTGTCTTTTCATTCTTCAGTATAAGAGATAATTTGCTTTAACCCTTAAACTGTCCAAACAGATCTATGTTCACATGCGTAGTGCTCAAAAAGTAGATCTACGTTTTTTACGTATTTTCAAATATAACAAAAAATACTTAGATCAAAGTTTTTTTCACACATTTTCAAATGTAAAGAAACAAAAAGAAGATCTATGTTTTTTTACGTACTTTCAAATGTTGAAAAAACGTAGATCTACGTTTGGACAGTTTAAGGGTTAATACTTAAAATGGGTCCCTAGTAATTCCTACCGAGGAACAGATCTACTATGAAAGTATCGAAGCTAAACTTCAGGGCCCCTAATCCCTGAGGGACCCCAGAATTGACTTTAATCCACATTGGTTAAAAATTTTGGGTCTGCTGTATGAGAAGGGGCTGCAAAGAGGCCTCCATAACATTTCAAGCTTCAGGGCTCCCATAACAGTTCAAGCTTCAGGGCTCCCATAACAGGTCAAGCTTCAGGGGGCCCTATAACAGTTCAAGCTTCAGGACCACAAAAATGTAGGTCCACCACTGTTCCAACTCTGAGATTCCTTGTGTTATTCTTAATTACCCGTCCAAGAATTGCTTTTTCGAATTCATGACTGACATATAGACCTAGGGTGTATCCCTCTCCTTCTCTTCCCACATCAAAAATATATGATTACAGTGGAACCCCGGTTAACGATATTTTTTTCATTCCAGAAGTATGTTCAGGTGCCAGTACTGACCGAATTTGTTCCCATAAGGAATATTGTGAAGTAGATTAGTCCATTTCAGACCCCCAAACATACACGTACAAACGCACTTACATAAATACACTTACATAATTGGTCGCGTTGGGAGGTGATCGTTAAGCGGGGGTCCACTGTATATGAACAAAAACGGCCGAACTTAACGCTTTTATGTATTCAACTTTTTTTGAGAAACTTGCTTAGTTACTGCAAAGAATTTGTGTATAAATGCATAAAAGTGCCCATGTATTTATCCTGTTATTTTTTCAGTTTTTTTTTTTTTCATATTTTTAGTCATGTTTTATAGTTATTGTCATATGGGTGTATGTAATAGTACTACTAGTCAGTAACCTAAAACAGTAAGAATTTATATTTACTAAAATAGTCAAGAAATGTTAGCTTTAGAATTTGGGATATTTGGTTGTGGGTGACCGACTATCGGCTGTGATAACACTGGTTATCTTTTTTACTCAACCGTTCATTGGGGATGAGAAGATGGTGAGGGCTCTTGATACGAGGAATTGGAACTACCCTCTTCTTCCTCAAGTCAAACCTAATTATCTCTATTCACCTGGCATTGTATCGTCTTTATAAGTTGAGCACTCGTCTCGTGAATATAAAATAATAATAATAATAATAGATGGCAACTATAATGCCGGGAGCAAGGTGTTAGTAACCCCTTCTCCTGTATAAATTACTAAATAAGAAAAGAAAACCTTTGGCTTTTCATTTTTAGGTCACCCTGTTTCAGTGGGAGATGGCCGGTACATTGAAAAAAATAAATAATAGACTTTATGGGCTTTTGTTTATTTATATATACTGGTAATAGAAAGATATACAAATGTGGTTTTACATTACAGTACTGTGTACCCCATGTTAAAACACTTAATTCTGTATACTTAAAACCATGATCATGACAGTGGTAGCTTCAGGAACTTCTTTCAACAAATTGGCTGTATCCCACTGAAGCAGGGTGACCCAAAAAGAAAAAACAAAGTTTATCTCTCTAACTTTAGTAATGTGTACAGGAGAAGGGGTTACTAGCCTCTTGCTCCCGGCATTTTACTCGCCTCTTATAATATACATATTATTATTATCACACTGGCCGATTCCCACCAAGGCAGGGTGGCCCGAAAAAGAAAAACTTTCACCATCATTCACTCCATCACTGTCTTGCCAGAAGGGTGCTTTACACTACAGGTTTTAAACTGCAACATTAACACCCCTCCTTCAGAGTGCAGGCACTGTACTTCCCATCTCCAGGACTCAAGTCCGGCCTGCCGGTTTCCCTGAATCCCTTCATAAATGTTACTTTGCTCACACTCCAACAGCACGTCAAGTATTAAAAACCATTTGTCTCCATTCACTCCTATCAAACACGCTCACGCATGCCTGCTGGAAGTCCAAGCCCCTCGCACACAAAACCTCCTTTACCCCCTCCCTCCAACCCTTCCTAGGCCGACCCCTACCCCGCCTTCCTTCCACTACAGACTGATACACTCTTGAAGTAATTCTGTTTCGCTCCATTCTCTCTACATGTCCGAACCACCTCAACAACCCTTCCTCAGCCCTCTGGACAACAGTTTTGGTAATCCCGCACCTCCTCCTAACTTCCAAACTACGAATTCTCTGCATTATATTCACACCACACATTGCCCTCAGACATGACATCTCCACTGCCTCTAGCCTCTAGCTTAAGGAAAAAGAATTCTGTTCCACTTCCCCATGGAGAAGCTTCAGTAACTCTGTGAACTAATTTATAATGGTTGATGTATAATTAAGTCATTATTTTCAGTTTGAAACCCTATTATCTGAGAGAAATATATTGCCACGTCCTTTGAAAATAGGTGAGATGTTTTTACATTGGTTATAACTTAATCTCAAATTAATATTTTATACTGAGGTGTGCATAAATGCTACTTTGGATTCACTTTGCCGCTGTCTTGGATAGTGACGGCATCTTACGATGAAGGTAAGGTGCGACGTGGTTTGTAGTTGTGGAATAAGGTATGGTAGCAAGCCTGTAACCTGGTGCAGGCACTTGGGCACTACTTCCTCTTGTCACCCACTGTCTTGTGTCTGGCACACTTGTGAGTTGTTTTGAAATTTATCACTCTCACGCTTGCATGTTTATTTCATACAAAAGCATTGTTTTATTCTGGAGATATGACTTACAAAATCGTAGTAACACAATCCACAGAACCAATGAGGTTTGAACCCCTGGTGAGTGGGTACTAAAACTCCAGTGGCTTACGCACTAGGCTGGAGTTTTAAGACTCTCTTGCCTGGTTTCAAACCTTGCCCGTTCTCTGTTTTTTGTTTTTTTCTGGAGATGTGTAGGAAATTTTCCAATCTCCAGTAACAAGAATATTACATCTCTGTGGCCATTTAAGATGGGTACTCTGATGTTGATGCAGAGCTCCTGGTCCAGAGAATTCTAGCTAGTGCTGTTCTTCCTCAGATTAAACCTGATCACTTCTGCAGGCACTGTATGACCTCTTGTCAGTTTAGCACTTTCCCATATTGTAACAATAATGCATCTCAAGGAACTTGATTCCTCATTCTTCACTCTCTACATCATCATACATCATAAATAAGTGTTAAGGCAACATTCTATGACCATACTTAGTCTTAACTAGTGCCAGGCTTGGATGTTTTCAGGAGTCTAAGATGTAAACTCTTGTACACCTATAGCACTTTTCTTGATTGATCAAGTGCAATGCCTCGTTTGGTTTGTGTCTTGATTGCCAAAATGGGATGAAGATTAAAAGGTGGGAACAAGAACAAGAGTACACAGATAATCCACACATAAGAGAAAGAAACTTACGATGTTTTGGTACAACTTGGACCATTAACTGGTCACACACACTGTGTGTAGCTAATGGTCCAATTCGGACCAAAATGTCGTCATAAGTTTTTTCTTCTATGTGCGGGTTATTTGTATATTGTTCCAGTATTGTGCCTCTTTGTTCATTAAGAACAATAACTTGAGCTCAGATATAAATATACTTTGATTAATTGCAGTTTGGAGTGTTAAAAAAGCAAATGGTGGGTGGGGGTTCTGTATATAAAATATTTTAGAGACAATGTTTACAGAAGTGGCAGTGCCTAAAACTAGCTCTCAAAAATTAGTCAGAGAAAATTGTTGATATATGTCCAGAACTTAAGATCAGCTAGGCTCTTACAGTGGCATATGGTGGTTACTGTGAGAGGGTGTGCACTGTCCTATCGTGCTGAACTTACTACTCTGTCACAAGTATAACTCGGAACAACTGCCACAATATTTCAAAACAGGGGACAGAAAAATTAGTTTCCCATTGTGATCCATGATTATATTTTTGAGTGAATTTAATATTTATGATGAACTTGTCATCTTTGGTGGGTGTGCAGCGTTCACCCACCACACCCAGAACATACACCACTGCTGTGATGGCTATATGGGCCGGTGGACCTAATAATAACAGTCTGGTTAAACAGGCCATCAGCAGAGAAGTTGGTCACATGTTAGGGCAGAAAAATCCTCAAAACTTGCCACAGTGCCTGGTTGAGTGGATTATCAGGAAGAACCTTGCCTCAGGCTAGGCTGTGAGGCAAGAATAACCCTGAAAACCAGTCAAGGTTATGTCACAGGTATGGGGTTGTTGCCTGATCACATGTTGCATTTTGTCATTTACAAATTCCAGAGCCAAGATTTATTCCCGAGGCATCTCCAAAGGGCAGCGGCCTTGACTCCTTCACCGTAGGCTGGAGCCAGCCGGGTGAAAATGCCAAGGAGTTTGTTGGCCGTTATCATCTCTCCCTCTCTGACCCAACGACGGGCGATGTTCAAGAATTGTTTGTTCCTTCTCCAGCTGTGGATCACATGTTCACTCATCTCAAGCCAGCTACTGAGTACAAATTTAAGGTCAGTAATTAATAGAGTGAGTCCTCGTCTTACAAACACATTGAGAATCTTCTGCATTGTGTATAATATCATTATTATATCATTATGATACACAATACAGAATGTCTCTAACGTGTTCGTAAGTTGAGGACTTACTGTTTCCTTTTTATTTTTTGATCTTACATATAAACTTTCCCAGACACAGATTAATAAAAGGAGAGAAACCATATAGAATGAAAAGTAAAATAAGTTAAATAGAGATTGTTATATTGTATCCTCAGCCAGAGAAGTTGTATTCCTAAATATTCGTTTTCAAAACAGTGTTTCGTACTTCAAAACAATGCACAAATAACCCGCACACAGGAGAGTGAAACTTATGATGACGTTTTGATTCGAATTGGACCATTCTGAGATACCATCACAAGTTTTATTCTCCTATGTGCAGGTTATTTGTGTATTGTTCCAGTCACGGTATTGTGCCTTTTTCTTCTTCAGAACGATGTGCTCTATACTGTTAACCCTTTCAGGGTCGAGAGGCCCTCTCCTAAACTCATTCTCAGGTTCGAAAATTTTTCGGAAAAAAAAAAAATTATTTTTTCTTTTGAAATGATAGAAAATATTTTCCTGATCATAATGACACCAGAAGTATGAAATTTGATGGAAAACTTAAAGAATTATGCTCTCGCGAAGTTAGCAGTCTCGACGATGTTTACGCATTGGCGATTTCGCCCACTTTGAGCCCTATTTTTGGCCAATTTCAGCATACTAGTCGACAAAAATCATATCTGTTTTGCTAGAACTCCATTTTTTCTAGCGAATAAGTACAAGAAACCACCCATTTACCGATTTTAAGTATCCAATAATGTGGTCAGAAATTGGCAATTTCACACAAATTTTAGAAGATGCCGATTTCCAAATAGTGTCCAGAATTAGCAAGACAGACATTCCTGGCACTAAAAGAACATTTTCTCTGTTCATTAGTCATGTTGCCAGGCTCCTCTTACATCTCTTTGCTTTCCACTTTGAATTTTTATTCTCACAAAAAATAGAAGATTTACTGTTATGCAGACTACTGCATTAGTGTAGAAATGGTGTAGAAATTGTATAAATAATATCAGCACACTTGTGAAAGAATATTAGACTCACCAGTTGACGTGTATTGGATGCTTGGCATGATTTGTTTACTTTTGAACTTTGGTAAAAATCAAACATTTCTGCTACTTTGAGCTCAATTTCAAGGTACTTTTCATTATGAAGCCAATCAAAATCATCTCAATTTCTGTAATATGTCTTCCATTCTATAAAATGAGACCAGGAAAACTAGAATACAACCATAAATACCATACGAAAATACACTGCTAAGTCGCTTTTTTTTTTTCTCATGCACTGTGTGCTGCAGGATTTTTTTTATACTGTGCACACTGACCACATAGACCCATTCTTTCATATGTAAGCCTACCAGCTTTCTCTCACTAGATTTGAAGGCGCTAGAATTTAGGCATTGTAGTACGTCAATAACCCTGGTGCGTAAGCCATACTAGTACATCGGAAACCCTGAAAGGGTTAATAGTATAAATCTTGGTAATAAATACTGACACATTGGTGTAGAAAGACAGGTAAGCCAACAGTAGGATATATTTATTAGAAAACATTTCTGTCCTAGACCTTTATCACTTTTAACACACAGATTAAAATGACAGTATTCTGCCAATACAGTGCAACCCCCATATCCACGGATTCAGTTTCCGCTGTTTTGGTTATCCGTGGTGTACCACGGCCCGAAAGTATTAAACGGAAAATTCAAGATATGAACAAATCATAAGTTTCCAATTGAGCGTCATTCTGAATACCATCGCGAAACCTTTCCGCCTTGTCGTGCTTAGTACATGACTCATCTCTTTGTCCTCTAGGGGTATATAGCCTGTGTGATGCAGACTGGTATTAACCCGTAAACGGTCCAAACATATATATATGTTTTTTCAACATTTGAAAGAATGTAAAAAAAGTAGATCTTCTTTTTTCTTTTTTACATTTGAAAATGTGTAAAAAACTTTAATTTACTTTTTTTTTTTATATTTGAAAATATGTAAAAAAAACGTAGATCTACTTTTGGAGCATTACACATGTGAACGTAGATCTGCTTGGACCGTTTTCAAGTTAAGAAAATAGAAAAATACTTCAATCTGTGTTAAGAACATAAGAACGAAGGAACACTGCAGAAGGCCTACTGGCCCATGCGAGGCAGGTCCAAGTCTCCTACCGGCTTAGGCCAATGCACCCAACCTAGTCAGGTGTTATAAGTGATTAAGGTCACAGGACCACAACATTTCTAATAAATATGTCCTAGTGTTTGCTCATGTGTCTTTTTTAAACTTAGATTTTTAATATCAAACAATTGCTGAGCTATTCCTGAAATAACAAGAGACAAGTATACAGTGTGGAAATTAGGAGAAGGTGTGGAGTTAATAAAAGTATTAGTTAGAGGGCTGAGGAGGGGTTGTTGAGGTGGTTTGGTCATTTAGAGAGAATGGATCAAAGTAGAATGACATGGAGAGTGTATAAATCTGTAGGGGAAGGAAGGTGGGGTAGGGGTCATCCTCAAAAAGGTTGGAGGGAGGGGGTAAAGGAGGTTTTGTGGGCGAGGAGCTTGGACTTCCAGCAAGCATGAGTGTGCGTGTTAGATAGGAGTGAATGGAGACGCATGGTTTTTGGGATCTGACGAGCTGTTGGAGTGTGAGCAGGGTAATATTTAGTGAAGGGATTCAGGGAAACTGGTTATTTTTATATAACCGAACTTGAGTCCTGGAAGTGGGAAGTACAATGCCTTCACTTTAAAGGAGGGGTTTAGGATGTTGGCAATTTGGAGGGATATGTTGTGTATCTTTGTATGTGTATGCTTCTAAACTGTTGTATTCTGAGCACCTCTGCAAAAACAATGATTATGTGTGAGTGAGGTGAAAGTGTTGAATAATGATGAAAGTATTTTCTTTTTGGGGATTTTCTTCCTTTTTGGGTCACCCTGCCTCGGCGGGAAACGGCCGACTTGTTAAAAAAAAAAAAGTATACAGTAGAACTCCCGTATCCCCGGATTCAGTTTCTGCGGTTTCGGTTATCCACAGTTTACCCTGACCCGAAAGTAACCCTTAATTTTGCTTAATAATGCAAAAGTAGTGATACTGGCAGTTCTTCAAAGGTGTGAAGTGCTTCCCATCAGTGAAAAAGTGATAATTCTCTACTTATTGTGTGTAATTTATAAATTAAGCTTTATCATAGATATGTACATAAATGAAGAATGACTTATATATAGGGTTCGCTACTCTTCATAGTTTCAGGTATCCACGGGAAGTCTTGGAATGCATCACCCGTGGATACGGGGAGACTACTGTATATTTTGCAACTAATATTTCTTAATCCACAGGTTGCAGCTTGCCTCGATGTTTTCCCCGACAGAGAGCGGGACTGTGGTGAATACTCTCCTTCCGTAGTTGGGAAGACCCTGAATGGAGTTCCTGGAGTCATTTCTGACTTGTTAGTTGAATGCAAACAGAACCCCCACACAGCTGCCAACACTGTCCACATCCACTGGAAGCCTCCAATCAACCCTAATGGCATAGTTGACCATTACAAAATCGAGCTGAAGGAAACTGCATCTTTCATAAATGAGGAGGGACAGAGGCAGTACTACAATAATGAACAGAAACATAATGTTGCCGGTTCTCTCAGAAACTATACATTTTATCATGCATTACCCAACACAAATTATACAGTGAAGGTGTGTATTTTCACTCTGTATATCTCTCCTTCAAGAGGTTTTCCCTTGATGCTGGTGAAGGTTCTTGATCTAAATTTTAACTTTCCTTGTATCTTAATGCTGGTGGAAGATTCTTGATCAAAATTCGATTTACTTTAACCTTCCTTGGATCAAACCTGATTAACTCTTCTTTCCCATGTGCCGTATTACTCCTTCAGGTTTAGCACCTCATGTTATAATAAAAATTTAGCTGTCATTATATTAATTATGAAACTGATGTAAAATTGTCAGTTTTTTAGACTGGCTGTTTCATATCAATACAGTGTGGTTCATAAGGAAGCACATTCACCATCACTCAGTAGTGCTTTATGCAGTTTAAGTGGCTTTTCGAGTGTGACCAAAGTATAAACCTATGAAGGAATTTAGAGAAACTGGTATAATTAAAATTCAGCACTCCATAACCTATGTCTAGTTTTAAGTAGCCTGTAATCATTAGTATTAGTCTACCTGGAATGCTCAGTCATGTTAGTGGCTTTCTTTGTTTTTTTTTTTTTTCAACAAGTCGGCCGTCTCAGGGTGACCCAAAAAGAAAGAAAAAATCCCCAAAAAGAAAATACTTTCATTATCATTCAACACTTTCACCTCACTCAATATTGTATTATATGTAGAACAACCACTGTGGAAAGAATAGTGAAATTCTAAGCGCTTTCGTGATTTCTCACATTATCAGTTCCTTGATAATGTGAGAAATCATGAAAACACTTGGAATTTCATTATTCTTTTCAGTTGTTGTTCTGCATATTGTTATATCACCTGTTTACTGTGATCTTATTGCATTTTATTAACTGGAAACATTGTATACATTGTAAACATTGTAAACATTGTATGGGTTTGGGATATTGGCAGTTTGGAGGGATATGTTGTGTATCTTCATACGTATATGCTTCTAAACTGTTGTATTCTGAGCACCTCTGCAAAAGCAGTGATAATGTGTGAGTGAGGTGAAAGTGTTGAATGATGATGAAAGTATTTTCTTTTTGGGGATTTTCTTTCTTTTTTGGGTCACCCTGCCTCGGTGGGAGATGGCCGACTTGTTGAAAAAAAAAAAAAATTGTATACTGTGTAAAGAAGTAGAAATTTTGATTTTGGTTTCCGACTTATGAAAAGGAGAACCATAGTGACCACAATCTTAGGAATGGATGGTCATCATGTGACTCACAAAATTGCAATAACACTATTGCAAACAAACCACTGTATAGGTGGGGTTAGAACCCATGGCAAATGCATAAACCACTGGCCCAGTGGCTTACGCACTGGCCTGGAGTCTTACGATTCATTTGCCATGGGTTCTAACCCCACCTGTACCGTGCTTTGGTCATCTTGTGGTTCAGAGGGTCATTTGAATGGTGATGTCTGAACACCACTGGTCAGACAGCTATTGACTAAGTGATGATGAATGTGTTTCTCTGTGGACCATCCTGCCTTGGTGGGGAATGGCCTGGGTGTTAAGAACCTGCTTGTGGGAGTGAACTCTGTGTTACTAAATACATTGCAAGAGGCACAGTGTGTTGCACTGTGTTGCAGAGTATGTTGCACACTGTTGTATATGTCATTAAAATATTCAGTATTTAAATAATTTAAAATTGACACATTTTTAGTTTAATTTTAGAAGGGTAACCCCTCAAGGAAGGTTCCTTGATGCCAGTGAGGAGTTCTTGATAAAGGAATTGGATCAAAGGTTTAATTCCTTGAAGTGAACCTGAATACCTTCTTCCATGATGCTATGCCCCTGAGGATTTAGTGCTCCCCAAGAATGGAATAATATTATAGAAGGGAAATAATTTTCATTTTTGCTATCTTAAGAACAGTAAAAAATTAATTTATGGATAAATGATAAAATTTTCAATAATAAATGATTTATTTACATTTTTTGGGTTTAGAAGTTTTTTTTTTTATATTTTTGCAATCTGATGATTTAACTTTACGGATTAATAAAATTTTGAATAATTATAGATTGATTTACAATTTGTTAGGTTTACGCGGGGATTAAGAGGCAGTACAGCTCGCCCATGAACGCCGTGTGTCGCATGCCCGTCTGGGTTCCATTTTCGGAGCGCGTAACCTGGTGGAAATACTACCATGAAGGCCAAGTCGTACTCAAACTTCCTGTTCCACGAGTATCCGAACGAAATGGAACAATTTGTTGCCACAGGTTTGTCATCACTGCTAAACACAACACAAATATCCTGTACATAGGGAAGAGAGAGAGAGAGAGAGAGAGAGAGAGAGAGAGAGAAAGGTTATGATGACATTTCAGTCCGACTTGGACCATTTACAGGTCACAGTATAACTTGAAAATGGTCCAAGTCGGACCAAAATGTCATCACAAGTTTCTTTCTCTTATGTGCAGTTTTTTGTGTGTTGTTCCAGTCATGGTATTGTGCCTTTGTTATTTGTCACTGCTAAATATCTGCATTTTGAATTTTTTTAAGAAGAGACTTCTGAACTAAAGTAATGGATAAACTATTTTAAAAACCAGGAAGATTCTCTGTGCTACATGTTCTGTATTTTCAGCATATAAGATGCATCTTTTTTTTTAAAATCTGGCCCTCAGAATCACTCTACATCCTACACGGTGAAGGTCAGGTTTGGGGGTCTATAAATAATTCCATTTAACTGGCTTTAGAAAATTTCCCTCAATTTTAGTTTTGAAATGCATTTCATGCTAAATTTAGGGTGTCTTATATGCCACAAAACACAGTAATTTTCTGCCCATGCTAATTTTGCTATGGTGTATAGAAATATACCTAGTTGGATGAATCTTATTAAAGCCAGTTGGTCAAGTTGTTAACACACTGGCCTGTGAGTTTAAGGATTGACCATGGGTTCAAATCCTCACCCATTCTCTGATTTGTATGCATTAATACAACTTTGTGAATCCTTGTAACAATCAGTGAAATCTGTAATAGGATTGTGGTGGTTAAGCTAGAAGGGGATTCAATGCTGCAAACTCTACCAGAGCCGAGTAAGCTGCCAATCAGCACCTATGAGGAGGTTCATCGTTCCCCTTCCTCCACTGGTGCCTACGTGGCCGAGGCATTTTCCGGGTAAGTTCTTGGATTGCTCGGCGATTGTCTTATTTTACACAAAAAATGCATTAACCTAATAACTCTGTATTTCTGTGACTACTTGCATAGTGATTAGTTTCTTAGAGATTTTCCAGTTAGTCTTAAAGCTCTGAGAAGACTGTTCTTAGACTGTACTGTTCAACTATGTTGATTAATGTTAGGTAGAAGGACAGATGTGCCACTTATGTGACATTTTATTCTGGCAATGTTTTGCTCTCCAAGAACTTTGTCAAGCGGTAACTGCTTGATAGAGCTCCTGGAGAGTGAAACGTTGCCACAATAATTATTTCTATTTAATTTTTTTTTTTTTTTTACATTTAGTAATATATACAGGAGAAGGGGTTACTAGCCCCTTGCTCCTGGCATTTTAATCACCTTTTGTGGCACACATGACTTATGGAGAATTCTGTTCCACTTTCCCATGGTTATCAGTAGTTAATCTAATTTTCAACTGCTGAATTAATCCATTGACTGTTATCAGTAGTTGAATACAAATTTGGTTAGAGAATTGAGGACAGATTCTTTGATACATGAAGTACAGTCTTATAAATTAGCTGGCAATGCATATTACAGATGGAATATCACAGATAAATATTCTTAGGCCTCGGAAAAGTTGTGTACAGTCTTATAAATTAACCTTTGACAATCTCTTACAGATGGAACATCAAGGATAAATACCTATTCTTAGGTGATGGGAAAGTTGTGGGTAACTGGTCTGGAGGATGTGCAGCTTGCTTGGGTGAAATAAACCCAGCAGGTGAAATGTCTGCACTCCGCAGCGGCAGTCCCGTGCATGCCATCGCTCCTGTCACACGAGGAAACAGGCGGACATTGTTGTCCCTCCAAGTCGCACCTCCGGTGATTGACGGTCTGCTCTCCAGGGAGTCCAACTATACTGGCTTCATTGTCATGTCAGGTATGATGCTTGCTGTATTGTGATGTCAAATATAATGCTTGTACTGTGTTGAGTATTGTGATGTCAAGTACAACAGATCTCATGTCATGTTCTGTGTAGTAATTTTAATTATTAAAATATTATTTTTGTGTTGCTTGTTATGATTTTGTTATTGAAACATTATTTTGGTATTTGATATTGAATTTTAATTCTTGAATAATATTTTTGTGCATTTTTAGCCTCTCTACGAACCCTATTTTTTACCCCTTGATCCAAAACTTGCTCTCAGGGTCAAAGAATTACTCCCCCATCCCCCCACCCCCCAAAAAATTTCTCCTGAAATGGTCGAAACTTTTTCCGAGGGTAATAAAACTTAGGGAATTACGCTCTCTCATAGTGGTCTTGAGGATATTTACACATAAGTGATTTCACCCATTTTGATCCTTATTTTCAGCCAATTCTAGTGTTCCAGTCAACCAAACTCATGGTTATTTTGTTAGTGTTCCTTCTATTCTATCGACTGAGTACAAGAAAAAGCCCATTTACATATTTCGTCTACCCAATGAAGTGATCAGAAATTGGTAATTTAGCCAATTTACACAAAATAAAAAATTGCCATTTTCAGAATCGACTCCAGAATAAACAGTGTAGACAATCCTTGCAATAAAACATTTCATCTGTTCGTTAGTCACATCCCCAGGCTTACCCAGGCCTCCCTAGGCCTCCCCAGGCCTTTCCTATATTATGCTTGCTTTCTGCGTTGAATTTTTGTTCACACAAAAACTAAAAGGGGTAATGGATTAAGTCCTTTGTTTACAAACATGTTGAGAATCTTTATTGTTTATATCAACATTATATCCTTATTGTATATAGTATCATTATTATAACATATAATACAAAAGGTTCCAAATGTGTTTGTAAGTTGAGAACTTACTGTACTTTAATTCCTGTTATTACATGAATTTTCATCTTGTTACTTCCAGTACAACCAGAAGATGGCAAGCTGCTGACGGCGTACAGCGAGTATTTTCCCGTGGTGCAGCCTGTTGAAGATGTGGTCGATACAGGACCTCCAACTCGCATTAACGAGATGCAGATTATTTACGTCGCTACGGGACTCTTCATGTTTCTGCTCTTGCTTAGCATCGGACTTTGTACTCTGCTGTGCTTTTATCGTCGGAGGAATAAACATCTGGAAGAGGAGGAGGTGGCTGAGAGTCTTTCTGGGTCTCTTGGGTAAGTAGTATTATTACACTGTAATAATAATAATAATAATAATCATCATAATAATTCCCCATGGGGAAGCGGAAAAGAATTCTTCCTCCATAAGCCATGTGTGTCATAAGAGGCAACTAAAATGCTGGGAGCAAGGGGCTAGTAACCCCTTCTGTATACATTACTAAATTTAAAAAGAGAAACTTTTGTTTTTCTTTTTAGGTCACCCTGCCTCAATGGGATACAGAAGAATTAGGAAATTAGGAGGTGTGGAGTTACTAAAAATATTATCCATCATTTCAAAGAAATATTGGAAGTTTTGCAAGAAGTTATGGAATCAATAACAAAAACAGATATAAACTTTATTTCTTTCTGCAGTATACAAAATGTAGATTATATGTCATAAAATATTGTTAAGCATAAAGGAAAGCCACTATCATGTGGAGTAATTAAGGCAGACTAATGAAGTTGAAGATTGAAAGAAGAGTTGCAGGTTGAAGTACTGGAGTTGCTAGTGGATTTGTTAAGTAAAGAAATGTGTGTGTGTGTTAGACTGGAGTGAATGTGTTGTTGTATCACTGTACCTTGGTAAGACATACTTCTGGCAAGACAGCTATTGAACGAGTGATGGTGAATGTGTTTCCTCCTTTAGGTTACCCTACTTTGGTATGTGGCTGACGTGACGTGACGTGGGAAGTACAGTGTCTACACTCTGAAGGAGGGGTGCTAATGTTGCAGTTTTATAGCTGTAGTGTAAAGCACCCCTCTGGCAAGACAGTGATGGAGTGAATGATGATGAAAGTTTTTCTTTTTTGGGCCACCCTACCTTGGTGGGAATCGGCCGATGTGTTAATAAATTAATATAAAATGACTACGTAACTCAATTTCAGGAGGATCTTCCGTTCGCTGCGACGATCACACACACTTATGTCACAGCCGGCAGTGGATGTGAAGCCAGTTCCACGAGACGAACTTGTTTCCCAATACATTGAGAAACTCAAAGACTCGGAACTTGGATTCCGACGGGAATACGAGGTAGGCTATATTTCAGACTGAACTTTTTGCTCGGCTTGTTACCATAGGTATTCTCTCTCTTTTCTATGAATCTTATTCTATAATTTGCAGAGAACAATTTTATTGAAACATTTTTGCCTATGGTACAGGTTTCTTCAGCCAGTAAACAGGGATCTTCAAGAAGCATATTTATTATAAGAGTACAGTGGACCCCCTGGTTTACGATATTATTTCATTCCAGATGTATGTTCAGGTGCCAGTACTGAACGAATTTGTTCCCATAAGGAATATTGTGAATTAGATTAGTCCATTTCAGACCCCCAAACATACACGTACAAACGCACTTACATAAATACACTTACATAATTGGTCGCATTAGGAGGTGATCGTAAAGCGGGGGTCCACTGTACAGGTATTCCTCGACTTGCGATATTTCGACTTTATGATGGTGCGGCAGCAATTACTTTGGAGATGAAACTTGAGATAATTACCCAGTATGAAGGCAGCAAGTCCGTAACTTGTATTAATTTATTTACTGTATTTCGCGGCTTATTAGATGCATGTTTTATCCCCATAAAATGTCTCTAAAAACCACCCTCTGTCCTGTAAACTGAAGGTCTGGGATGGGAGCTATAAATTTGGGGTGTGGGGTGGGCTGTAGCTCTCCCAGTTACATCTGATAAGATAAGATAAGATTTCGTTTGGATTTTTAACCCGGAGGGTTAGCCACCCAGGATAACCCAAGAAAGTCAGTGCGTCATCGAGGACTGTCTAACTTATTTCCATTGGGGTCCTTAATCTTGTCCCCCAGGATGCGACCCACACCAGTCGACTAACACCCAGGTACCTATTTGCTGCTAGGTGAACAGGACAACAGGTGTAAGGAAACGTGTCGAATGTTTCCACCCGCCGGGAATCGAACCCGGGCCCTCCGTGTGTGAAGCGGGAGCTTTAGCCACCAGGCCACTGGGCCACCACACCACTGATGCTGAACCATTGGAACTAAAACACTTCTTATAAGCCACAAAATATGGTACTTTTCAATACTTGTATTTAGCTAGTTACAGAAATTATTTATTTACTTATTCAGTGACAGTAGTTATTTACTTAATTATTTATTGTATCATTCATATTCGAAATACAGTATTTTTGATTTATGATGGGTTTGTCAGAAGTAACCCCATCGTAAGTTGAGCACCTGTATAGCCAGGTAAGTAGCCTGGTTAGCTCACGGCTTGGGTGTAAGATAGAAGCACTGAAGGAGGACTGAAGGTTCTATCAGTGACCTGCTTCTGGTGGGGAAGTTGGACTACAGGTTTGGCTAAACTGAAAGCCTTATTTCTGTTGGGTTGTTTTGTATACAGAACAGAGCACCTTTCAGGCATCTATGTGGCTAGTTTTATCTCTGTCCTTCATGTCTGACCAGGTGGTGTTCCAGTAAGTCAGTTGTGTGGTTTGACCCTACCTATAACAGGTGTCTGAAAAAATGGTCTTGTGATACCAACAAGATGTGGAAGAAGACACTTAGGTACAGTCCAGGACATATATTAGAGACAACATTTTGCCCTAAGTGACTTCCTCAGTCCTAATGAAGACTGACAAAGCCACTAGTGGTGAAACGAGCTGTTGGAGTGTGAGCAGGATAATATTTTGTGAAGGAATTCTGGAAAGCCAGTTAGCCAGATTTGAGTCCTGGAGGTGGGAATTACAATGCCTGAACTCTAAAGGAAGGTTTGAGATATTTGCTGTTTAGAGGGACAGTTAAACTGTCTGGCACCTCAGGCAAGACAGTAATGGTGTGAACGATGGTCAAAGTATTTTCTTTTTCGGGTCACCCAGCCTTGGTGGAGACAACTAGCATGTTAAAAAAAAAAATGCATGTAAGTGTTTTTTTCATCATATCATCAGTGCCTGTTCACTACTTCTCTCTGCAATATTTGTCACCTCTGTATTTAATTGTAGAAGCCTGCAGAGCAGGCAGAATATTTTGACAATGAAGATACCCAAGTATTGCACTTGTGTCATTCATTGTACCCAAAATCCATTGCAAAAAATTATGAAATTGATTTTCCATAATCATAAGATAATGGATAAATACTCGATGCAGTGGACTGATCTATTACATGGGAATAACAAAAAGGCACAATACCGTGACTGGAACGATACACAAATAACCCGCACATAAAAGACAGAAGCGGGTTATTTGTGTATTACATGGGAAATTTGCCGGACACATGCGAGGCCATACTGGTGTAATGCAGTGTGAATAAAGGCAGTAATACATAGTGGCAACAGAAACTTTTGTGATGTAAACAGAGCTGAGAACCACCTGACACCTTCACCTCTGTTTTACCTCACACCTTCATCAACTTGGTCCATTGTATGGGAGACCATGTAATTCCCCTAATGGACAAATGCCCCATGCAGTGGACCGACTGTTGTATCAAACTTTTGTCCATCCAAATATTTTGCCTCCTGTATCTTAACTCCATTATGTAGGGTCCCTTACATTGATTGTTTATCTACGTTCGTTGTTTTTGTGTGTGCACTGTACAGGCATACCTCATTAATACGTAGCTTGCTTTAGAACGCTTTCTATAAACTGTATTTGTTCATTAAAAGCTTTGTGATGTGCTATTTTTAGCGTGTATTTTATTCCGGTATATTTTTAGGCCCTGCCCGAGAAGTTTTATGATCGAACCAGTCGTGCGTCAGACCTCATAGAGAATGCTCCCAAGAATCGTTACCCAGATATCAAGGCTTACGACCAAACACGGGTGAAGTTGACCCAGGTCAATGGGGCCATTGGTTCAGACTACATCAACGCCAACTACGTCTTGGGTTACAAGGAGCGCAAGAAGTTTATCTGTGCTCAGGGTAAGTTGGGTGTATATTGTTAGAACAGTTAGGTATCTTTATTCTGAAACTTTTCACTACATGGTAGATGTTTTCATTTGAGAACTCTTCTCAGGCTGAGGGACTGACCACCTCAAAACTACATCTTAAAGGGTTATAGACTAATTACATCAGATTTACATCCCTACTGCTTCTGCTGTCTCTGTACTTGGCTGAAGAAGCCTACTGTGTAGGGGAAACCTCCGTCTTACTTGTCAACTTGTCGGTATTGTATACCATCATAATATTCATATATTGTTAGTTCATTCAATTTATTGCTAAAACAAATTTACAAGTTTTCAAGAGGAAACTCTTGCTTCCTGCTGCCTGATCAGCCAGGTTGTGATGTCCATGTGGGCCACTAGCACCAGCATTCTGCTTGATTAGGCAATCAGCAATGAAGACTGGCCTCAAGATGCAGGGTTGTTAAACGCTCAGTCACATGTGTAATGATGATAATATATCATCTCCATGGGGTAGTGGAAAATAATTCTTCCTCTGTAAGCCGTGTGTATCATAAGAGGAAACTAAAATGCCAGGAGCAAGGTGCTAGGGACCCCTTCCGTATAAATTACTAAATGTAAAAAGAAAAACTATAGTTTTTCTTTTTCGGATCACCCTGCCTTGGTGGGAGACGACCAGTGTGTTGAAAAAATTCATTGGCTGTTTCCTAACCTGGGTAGGGAGATCTAAAAATGAAAAGACACTCTTCGTTTTTCAACAAACCGGCTGTATCCCTCTGAGGCGGGGTGACCCAAAATGAAAAAATGAAAGTTTTTCCTTTTAAATTTAGTAATATATACAGGAGAAGGGGTTACTAGCCCCTTGCTCCTGGCATTTTAGTTGCCTTTTACGACATGCATGGCTTGCTGAGGAAGAATTCTGTTCCACTTCCCCATGGTTATTTATTCAATATCTATCTTGCCAAAAATGTGCGGACATCGCCAATCAAATGACTCTCCAAACTACATCATTCTCACTCATCCTTCACACTGTAGGCACTGTATTTCTCGCATCATGAACTGACATCTCCACTCATCCTTCATACTGTAGGTACTGTACTTCCCACATCATGAACTGACATCTTCACTCATCCTTCACACTGTTGGCACTGTACTTCCCACATCATGAACTCATGTGCTTATTTAAATTCATATATTTCTCTCCCTTTAGGACCAATGGACACAACAGTGGATGACTTCTGGCGGATGATAGTTGAACAAGGATGCGGAGTGTGCGTCATGCTCACTAATTTAGAGGAAACAGGAAAAATCAAGTGCGTAAAGTACTGGCCTGAAGCAGGACAGCCTAAAACCTTTGGCAACATCACTGTTTATCTTGTCAAGGAAAAAGCATACTCAGGTTAGTTAGTTGTCAGGTGAAATGGAGACTGGTTAAATAAATTTTTTTTTTTTAACAAGTCGGCTGTCTCCCACCGAGGCAGGGTGACCAAAAAGAAAGAAAATCCCCAAAAAGAAAATACTTTCATCATCATTCAACACTTTCACCTCACTCATACATAATCACTGTTTTTGCAGAGGTGCTCAGAACACAACAGTTTAGAAGCATATACGTATAAAGATACACAACATATCCCTCCAAACTGCTAATATATACTAATAAGGTAGAAAGTTGAAAGTGAACATAGAAAAAAGTAAGGTGATGAGGGTATCAAATGATTTAGATAAAGAAAAACTGGATATTAAATTGGGGAGGAGGAGTATGGAAGAAGTGAATGTTTTCAGATACTTGGGAGTTGACGTGTTGGCAGATGGATTTATGAAGGATGAGGTTAATCATAGAATTGATGAGGAAAAAAAGGTGAGTGGTGCATTGAGGTATATGTGGAGACAAAAAACATTATCTATGGAGGCAAAGAAGGGAATGTATGAAAGCATAGTAGTACCAACACTCTTATATGGGTGCGAAGCTTGGGTTGTGAATGCAGCAGCGAGGAGGCGGTTGGAGGCAGTGGAGATGTCCTGTCTAAGGGCAATGTGTGGTGTAAATATTATGCAGAAAATTTGGAGTGTGGAAATTAGGAGAAGGTGTGGAGTTAATAAAAGTATTAGTCAGAGGGCTGAAGAGGGGTTGTTGAGGTGGTTTGGTCATTTAGAGAGAATGGATCAAAGTAGAATGACATGGAGAGCATGTAAATCTGTAGGGGAAGGAAGGCGGGGCAAGGGTCATCCTTGAAAAGGTTGGAAGGAAGGGGTAAGGGAGGTTTTGTGGGCGAGGGGCTTGGACTTCCAGCAGGCGTGCATGAGCGTGTTCGATAGGAGTGAATGGAGACGAATGGTATTTGGGACCTGACGATCTGTTGGAGTGTGAGCAGGGTAATATTTAGTGAAGGGATTCAGGGAAACGGTTATTTTTATATAGCCGGACCTGAGTCCTGGAAATGGGAAGTACAATGTCTGCACTTTAAAGGAGGGGTTTAGGGATATTGGCAGTTTGGAGGGATATGTTGTGTATCTTTATACGTATATGCTTCTAAACTGTTGTATTCTGAGCACCTCTGCAAAACAGTGATAATGTGTGAGTGTGGTGAAAGTGTTGAATGATGATGAAAGTATTTTCTTTTTGGGGATTTTCTTTTTTTTTTGGGTCACCCTGCCTCGGTGGGAGATGGCCGACTTGTTGAAAAAAAAAAAAGTTTCAATACAGCTGGTTCATTGAAAAAAAATTTCTATTTATATTTTGACACTTGCAGATTTCATGGTTCGTACATTGAGGGCAGAATGGGGTGAAGGTGAGGAGCAGCACACCCATGAAGTTCGTCAGTACCACTATCTGTTGTGGAAGGACTTCGTTGCTCCTGAGCATCCCACTGGTGTGCTGTCATTCTTGCGACGCATCCTTGAAGCATACTCACATGACCAGGGCCCACTCCTTATACACTGCAGGTTTGTCTCTCCTCACTTCAGCAGTATTTATTAGAACCTGGGTCAGTGTAGGTAGGTTGGTAGACAGCAACCATAATGTAGGGGCCACTTTTAAACTGCAAGTTTGTCTCTGCTTACTTGAACAGTATTTATGAGAACCTGGGCAGTTAAGGTAGGTTGGTAGACAAAAGCTATGATGCAAGTAGATACTACTATCTTCTCTCCTATTATTAATGTGAAACAGGAGCTTGTTATGTACTTTTGCAGGATTGCTGATCTTTTCTTTGTTCTTCATGAAGATTTAAGGTTACAGGCAAATTTTATCAAGTCGCCACTGTTGAATTATTTACAGATATTTCAAGTGACATTATTGTGATTTTCAGCGCTGGTGTTGGACGGACAGGGACCCTGGTAGCTCTTGATTCTCTTGTAATGGAGCTGGATGAAGAAGGTCATGCCTCCATCTTCAACCTTATCTGTGACCTCCGACACCAAAGAAACTTCCTTGTACAGTCTTTAGTAAGTTTGATTTTTAATTATTTAATCTGTAAAATATACCTGTTATTCTCCATGGGAAGTGGAACAGAATTCTTTCTCCGTTAGCCATGCGTGTTGTAAGAGGCGACTAAAATGCTAGGAACAAGAGGCTAGTAACCCCTCCCTTCTCCTGTATACATTACTAAATGTAACAAGAAAAACTTTCGTTTTTCATTTTAGGTCACCCTGCCTTGGTGAGATATGATTGGTTCGTTGAAAAAAAAATATGTATAAACTTGTTACATGTGTGCTTTTTCCAGTAAGTACAGATACTCATTATTACCTAAGCAGGTGTCATGGTGTCGCATTTTTTCTCCCCCATGCAAACAAATCAATGTTGATAAGTAATATAGAATATTTTAACCTAGTGGGTTTTTTCTTTACACGCTGACCATTTCCACCGAGGCAGGGTGGCATAAAAAAACACTTTCACCATTATTCACTCCATCACTGTCATGCCAGAGTGGCACCAGTACTACAGCTCTGAACTGCAACATATCCCCATCCCTCCTTCAGAGTGCAGGCACTGTACTTCCGAGTGCAGACAGTGTACTTCCCACCTCCAGGACTCAAGTCCGGCTAACCAGTTTTCACGAACCCCTTCATAAACATTACTTTGCTCACAAAATTTTCTTATTTTGTATTTGTTGAATTTTCTTACACGAATGACCTTTTTCAGAAACAATACGTCTTCATCCACCGAGCACTAATGGAGTATGTTCAGTTTGGAAACACTGAACTGAGCATACCTCAGCTTAAGGAAGCTTATAGCAACCACACTCATCACGACAGCTTGGATGACTCCTCACCTCTGGAGAAAGAGTTTGAGGTTAGTAGACTGTCATGTGTTATATGGAAGAAATCACAATAGAATGCATGGTTGCAATTTTCTTTTTTTTCAACAAGTCGGCCGTCTCCCACCGAGGCAGGGTGACCCAAAAAGAAAGAAAATCCTCAAAAAGAAAATACTTTCATCATCATTCAACACTTTCATCTCACTCACACATAATCACTGTTTTTGCAGAGGTCTCCAGAATACAACAGTTTAGAAGTATATACATATAAAAATACACAATATACCCCTCCAAACTGCTAATATCCCAAACTCCTCCTTTAGAGTGCAGGCATTGTACTCCCCATTTCCAGGACCCAAGTCCGGTTATATAAAATAACCGGTTTCCCTGAATCCCTGCACTAAATATTACCCTGCTCACACTCCAACAGCTCGTCAGATCCCAAATACCATTCGTCTCCATTCACTTCTATCTAACACACTCACGCACGCTTGCTGGAAGTCCAAACCCCTCACACACAACACCTCCTTTACCCCCTCCCTCCAGCCTTTTCGAGGATGACCCCTACCCCGCCTTCCTTCCCCTACAGATTTAAATACTCTCCATGTCATTCTACTTTGATCTGTTCTCTCTAAATGACCAAACCACCTCAACAACCCCTCTTCTGCCCTCTGACTAATACTTTTATTAACTCCACACCTTCTCCTAATTTCCACACTCCGAATTTTCTGCATAATATTTACACCACACATTGCCCTTAGACAGGACATCTCCACTGCCTCCAACCGCCTCCTCGCTGCGTGTTGTAAAAGTCAACTGAAATGCCAGGAACAATGGGCTAGTAACCCCTTTTCCTGTAATAATTACTAAAAAGAATAAGAAAATTGGTTGCAAATATGGAATAATATTACAGTGAAAATGTGTGTAAGCACATAAAAGCACTCAGATTTTATTTCCTATTTCCTGCCCCCAACATCTTGCTCCTGGGGGATTTCAACTTAAGGCACCTAAAATGGAGGAATATAGCAAATAATGTTGTTGGTGATAACACCAGGAGGCAGCTCTGACGAAAACTCACACACACACGAGCTTTTAAATCTCTGCACAAAATTCAACTTAAACCAGCAAAAATAGAGCCTACTAGACTGGAGAATACACTAGACCTCATCTTCACTAATAATGATGATCTGATACGAAATGTCGCCATATCAAAAACAATATACTCAGATCACACCATAATTGAGGTTCAGACATGTATGCGCGGAGCCCCAGACCGACATAATGAGATTAGTCACGAGGGAGCCTTTCCCAAATTCAGCTTCAATAACAAGAACATGAAGTGGGACCAAGTAAACCAAATCCTAAACGATATAAGCTGGGAAGATAGACTAAGCCACACAGACCCCAACTTATGCCTAGAACAGATTAACTCAGCGGCACTCAATGTATGCTCAAGGCTTATTCCTCTAAGAAAAAGGAGGAGTAGATGTAAAATAGAAAGAGAATAACAGAATAACGAAAAAGAATAACAGAGCGGCTAAAAGAGGTCAATATATCTGAAATGCGTAGGGAGTCACTGGTCAGAGAAATAACAAACATCAAACTTAAGCTAAAGGAATCTTATAGGAGTCAGGAATCGCGGGAAGAACTAAAAGCCATAAATGAAATCGAAAGAAACCCAAAGTATTTCTTTTCCTATGCCAAATCAAAGTCGAGAACAATGTCCAGTATTGGGCCCCTACTTAAACAAGATGGGTCCTACACAGATGACAGCAAGGAAATGAGTGAGCTACTCAAGTCCCAGTATGACTCAGTTTTTAGCAAGCCGCTAACCAGACTGAGAGTCGAAGATCAAAATGAATTTTTTATGAGAGAGCCACAGACTTTGGTTAACACAAGCCTATCTGATGTTATCCTGACGCCAAATGACTTCGAACAGGCGATAAATGACATGCCCATGCACTCTGCCCCAGGGCCAGACTCATGGAACTCCGTGTTCATCAAGAACTGCAAGAAGCCCTATCGCGAGCTTTTACCATCTTATGGAGAGGGAGCATGGACGCGGGGGTCGTCCCACAGTTACTAAAAACAACAGACAGCCCCACTCCACAAAGGGGGCAGTAAAGCAATAGCAAAGAACTACAGACCAATAGCACTAACATCCCGTGTCATAAAAATCTTTGAAAAGGTCCTAAGAAGCAAGATCGCCACCCATCTAGAAACTCATCAATTACACAACCCAGGGCAACATGGGTTTAGAGCAGGTCGCTCCTGTCTGTCTCAACTATTGGATCACTACAACAAGGTCCTAGATGCACTAGAAGACAAAAAGAATGCAGATGTAATATATACAGCTTTGCAAAAGCCTTCGACAAGTGTGACCATGGCATAATAGCGCACAAAATGTGTGCTAAAGGAATAACAGGAAAAGTTGGTAGATGGATTTATAATTTCCTCACAAACAGAACACAAAGAGTAGTAGTCAACAGAGTAAAGTCCAAGGCGGCTACGGTGAAAAGCTCTGTTCCACAAGGCACAGTACTCGCTCCCATCTTGTTTCTCATCCTCATATCTGACATAGTCAAGGATGTCAGCCACAGCACCTTGTCTTCCTTTGCAGATGACACCCGAATCTGCATGACAGTGTCTTCCATTGCAGACACTGCAAGGCTCCAGGCGGACATCAACCAAATCTTTCAATGGGCTGCAGAAAACAATATGATGTTCAACGATGAGAAATTTCAATTACTCCGATTTGGTAAACACGAGGAAATTAAAACTTCATCAGAGTACAAAACAAATTCCGGCCACAAAATAGAGTGAAAAACCAACGTCAAAGACCTGGGAGTGATTATGTCGGAGGATCTCATCTTCAAGGACCGTAACATTGTATCAATCGCAGCTGCTAGAAAAAGGACAGGATGGATTATGAGAACCTTCAAAGCTAGGGATGCCAAGCCCATGATGACACTCTTCAGGTCGCTTGTTCTATCTAGGCTGGAATATTGCTGCGCACTAACAGCACCTTTCAAGGCAGGTGAAATTACTGACCTAGAAAATGTACAGAGAACCTTCACAGCGCACATAACGGAGATAAAACACCTCAATTACTGGGAGAGCTTGAAGTTCCTGAACCTGTATTCCCTGGAACGCAGGCGGGAGAGATACATGATTATATACACCTGGAAAATCCTAGAGGGACTAGTACCGAACTTGCACACGAAAGTCGCTCACAACAAAAGCAAAAGACTTGGCAGACGATGCAACATCCCCCAATGAAAAGCAGGGGTGTCACTAGCATGTTAATAGACAATACAATAAGTGTCAGGGGCCCGAGACTGTTCAACTGCCTCCCATCATACATAAGGTGGATTACCAATAGACCCCTGGCAGTCTTCAAGCAGGCACTGGACAAGCACCTAAAGTCGGTACCTGACCAGCCGGGCTGTGGCTTGTACGTTGGAGTGCGTGCAGCCAGCAGTAACAGCCTGGTTGATCAGGCTCTGATCCACCAGGAGGCCTGGTCACAGACCGGGCCACGGGGGCGTTGACTCCCAGAATTCTCTCCAGGTGAACTCCAGGTAAACTTGTATTTGTTTTTTTTTACATGGCCGGCTCCCCCATTTTGTCGAGTCAAGCCTGACTGCCTCCCAGTCCCCATTCAGTATATGAGCATACAACCTGTGTGGGTTTAGCACTTCTTCACAGCTATAACAATAATTGCTTCTTGGATCCCATTCCATTCTGTTTGTGACGAATATTTTTATGTTAGGTAAAAGGACACAAGTGCAACTAATGTGACATTTTATTGTGGCAACATTTCACTCACCAGGTTTGTCAAGCTGTTACATGTTAGTTCTGGAGATTTTTTAAGCTTATAGTTTTTCAAAATGTTATACGGGAGCCCCATATATCCAGCACCTCTCCTCAGTGTTCCACATTTTCAGTGGTTTTGAATTAAGTCCTTGTTCATTATGCTCAGTGTTTTTACTGCTTTTCTGCCATTTTTACACAACAGTTGCATAAGGGAAGGGGGACTGGTGCTGTATTTTAATTCCGATTTGTTGAAAAAAAAAAATTGTATGTATTGTGTATTTATTTCACTTTTGTATGTTTTTTCCTAGCTGTGTTGAGGACTTAATATATGATAGTGTAAACATGTAATCAAACATTTTAGATGCATTATATAGTGAAAAATCATTCTTTTCTACCCACCAGTGATTTTCACTTATCGCCGGGGGCCCTCCTTACCTTCACAAACTTAGTCTCTTCACGGGGCTTCCTTGATGCTGGGGAAAAGGTCTTATCTTCGGAATCTGGAGCTATCCTTTGTCTTAGATTGAACCTTGTTACCTCTCGTTCACCACTTGTGTGACTTCTCTGGGTTCGGTGCTTTCCCGATGGGTAGGCTCCAGGATGTACATGTTTATAGAGGGGCAACTGATATATCGGATCATTATTTAGTTGTAGCTACAGTTAGAGTAAGAGGTAGATGGGAAAAGAGGAAGGTGGCAACAACAAGTAAGAGGGAGGTGAAAGTGCATAAACTAAGGGAGGAGGAAGTTCGGGCGAGATATAAGCGACTATTGGCAGAAAGGTGGGCTAGTGCAAAGATGAGTAGTGGGGGGGTTGAAGAGGGTTGGAATAGTTTTAAAAATGCAGTATTAGAATGTGGGGCAGAAGTTTGTGGTTATAGGAGGGTGGGGGCAGGAGGAAAGAGGAGTGATGGGTGGAATGATGAAGTAAAGGGTGTGATAAAAGAGAAAAAGGTAGCTTACGAGAGGTTTTTACAAAGCAGAAGTATAAGAAGAGCAAAGTATATGGAGAGTAAAAGAAAGGTGAAGAGTGGTGAGAGAGTGCAAAAGGAGAGCAGATGAAAGAGTGGGAGAGGCACTGTCAAGAAATTTTAATGAAAATAAGAAAAAATTTTGGAGTGAGTTAAACAAGTTAAGAAAGCCTAGGGAAAGTATGGATTTGTCAGTTAAAAACAGAGTAGGGGAGTTAGAAGATGGGGAGAGGGAGGTATTAGGTAGATGGCAAGAATATTTTGAGGAACTTTTAAATGTTGAGGAAGAAAGGGAGGCGGTAATTTCATGCACTGGCCAGGGAGGTATACCATCTTTTAGGAGTGAAGAAGAGCAGAATGTAAGTGTGGTGGAGGTACGTGAGGCATTACGTAGAATGAAAGGGGGTTAAAGCAGCTGGAACTGATGGGATCATGACAGAAATGTTAAAAGCAGGAGGGGATATAGTGTTGGAGTGGTTGGTACTTTTGTTTAATAAATGTATAAAAGAGGGGAAGGTAACTAGGGATTGGCGGAGAGCATGTATAGTCCCCTTATATAAAGGGAAGGGGGACAAAAGAGATTGTAAAAATTATAGAGGAATAAGTTTACTGAGTATACCAGGAAAAGTATACGGTAGGGTTATAATTGAAAGAATTAGAGGAAAGACAGAATGTAGGATTGCGGATGAGCAAGGAGGCTTCAGAGTGGGTAGGGGATGTGTAGATCAAGTGTTTACATTGAAGCATATATGTGAACAGTATTTATATAAAGGTAGGGAAGTTTTTATTGCATTTATGGATTTAGAAAAGGCATATGATAGAGTGGACAGAGGAGCAATGTGACAGATGTTGCAAGTACAGTGGACCCCCGCATAACGATGGCATCGCATAGCGATTTTTCCGCATAACGATTACTTTTATCGCAAAATTTTTGCCGCGCATACCGATTAAAAACCCGCATACCGATTTTCGTCCGAGACGCGTCCAATGTGCCCTCAGCCAGCCTCACATGTGCCGCTCCGTCCCATTGTTTACCAGCCAGCCTCCGCGGTAACATCCAAGCATACACTCGGAATATTTCGTATTATTACAGTATTTTCGGTGCTGTTTCTGGAAAATAAGTGACCATGGGCCCCAAGAAAGCTTCTAGTGCCAACCCTGTGGTAAAAAGGGTGAGAATTAGTATGGAAATTAAGAAAGATTTTGAAGGGTTTGGGGCTAACCCTGAGAAGCCTATGCCAGTTGTGGAATCCATTGTGCCTACTTCAAAGATTAAGGAAATGTGTGCAGAGTGGGTTGAACTGCAAACCTTTATAGATGAAAATCACCCTGACACAGCTGTTGCAAGCCGTGCTTGTGACTATTTCAATGACAATGTTATGGCCCATTTTAGGAAAGTCTTGAAGGAACGGGAGGTACAGAGCTCTATGGACAGATTTGTTGTGCGACAGAGGTCCAGTGACTCTCAAGCTGGTCCTAGTGGCATTAAAAGAAGAAGGGAAGTAACCCCAGAGAAAGGACTTGCTACCTCAAGTCCTAATGGAAGGGGATTCCCTTCTAAACAGTAAGATAGTATAATGCTCTCCCCTCTCCCATCCCATCAATCATCACCAGATCTTCAATAAAAGTAAGTGTCATGTAATTGTGCATGCCATTTTTCAGTTTGTGTGTAATTAAAATTAACATTTATGTGGTAAAAAAAATTTTTTTCATACTTTTGGGCGTCTTGCACGGATTAATTTTATTTCCATTATTTCTTATGGGGAAAATTCATTCGCATAACGATTATTTCGCATAACGATGAGCCCTCTTGCACGGATTAAAATCGTTAACCGGGGGTCCACTGTATATGGAATAGGTGTTAAGTTACTAAATGCTGTAAAGAGCTTTTATGAGGATAGTGAGGCTCAGGTTAGGGTATGTAGAAGGAGGGGAGAATACTTCCCGGTAAAAGTAGGTCTTAGACAGGGATGTGTAATGTCACCATGGTTGTTTAACATATTTATAGATGGGGTTGTAAAAGAAGTAAATGCTAGGGTGTTTGGGATAGGGGTGGGATTAAATTATGGGGAATCAAATTCAAAATGGGAATTGACACAGTTACTTTTTGCTGATGATACTGTGCTTATGGGAGATTCTAAAGAAAAATTGCAAAGGTTAGTGGATGAGTTTGAGAATGTGTGTAAAAGTAGAAAGTTGAAAGTGAACATAGAAAAGAGTAAGGTGATGAGGGTATCAAATGATTTAGATAAAGAAAAATTGGATATCAAATTGGGGAGGAGGAGTATGGAAGAAGTGAATGTTTTCAGATACTTGGGAGTTGACGTGTCGGCGGATGGATTTATGAAGGATGAGGTTAATCATAGAATTGATAAGGGAAAAAAGGTGAGTGGTGCGTTGAGGTATATGTGGAGTCAAAAACGTTATCTATGGAGGCAAAGAAGGGAATGTATGAAAGTATAGTAGTACCAACACTCTTATATGGGTGTGAAGCTTGGGTGGTAAATGCAGCAGCGAGGAGACGGTTGGAGGCAGTGGAGATGTCCTGTCTAAGGGCAATGTGTGGTGTAAATATTATGCAGAAAATTCGGAGTGTGGAAATTAGGAGAAGGTGTGGAGTTAATAAAAGCATTAGTCAGAGGGCAGAAGAGGGGTTGTTGAGGTGGTTTGGTCATTTAGAGAGAATGGATCAAAGTAGAATGACATGGAAAGCATATAAATCTATAGGGGAAGGAAAGAGGGGTAGGGGTGTCCTCGAAAGGGTTGGAAAGAGGGGGTAAAGGAGGTTTTGTGGGCGAGGGGCTTGGACTTCCAGCAAGTGTGCATGAGCGTGTTAGATAGGAGTGAATGGAGACGAATAATACTTGGGACCTGACGATATGTTGGAGTGTGAGCAGGGTAATATTTAGTGAAGGGATTCAGGGAAACTGGTTATTTTCATATAGTCGGACTTGAGTCCTGGAAATGGGAAGTACAATGCCTGCACTTTAAAGGAGGGGTTTGGGATATTGGCAGTTTGGAGGGATATGTTGTGTATCTTTATACGTATATGCTTCTAAACTGTTGTATTCTGAGCACCTCTGCAAAAGCAGTGATAATGTGTGAGTGTGGTGAAAGTGTTGAATGATGATGAAAGTATTTTCTTTTTGGGGATTTTCTTTCTTTTTTGGGTCACCGTGCCTCGGTGGGAGACGGCCGACTTGTTGAAAAAAAAAAATAAATAAATAAAAATTTATACCATATGCTAAGCTAATATGAAACAAATATATCTTGTACTGCCCAATCTGCAATATACAGTATAATTATAATGATAGTCACTATATACGTACATAGTACTACATCTGCAGACGGGCCCTTCTTATACAGCAGGTTAAGTTCCAGGCTACTATAGGGCCTCGCTTATGCAGCAGATTAGGTCCCCGGCTACTGTAGGGCCCTACTTATACAGCAGGCTAGATTCTCGGATACTGTAGAGCCCTGCTTATACAGCAGGTTAGGTTCTAGGCTGCTGTAGGTCCCCGCTTATACAGCAGGTTGAGGTACCGGGCTACTGTAAGGTGCTGTTTATATAGCAGGTTAGGTCCCGGGCTGCTGAGAGGGCCCTGCTTATACAGCAGGTTAGGTTCTGGGCTACTGTAGGGCCCTGCTTATATAACAGGTTAGGTGCCAGGCTACTGCTGTACAGGAGGGCCTCATTATACAGCAGGTTAGGTTCCAAGCTATTGCTGTAAAGTGAAACATAGCCTGATAGCATGTTTACACTATCATATCTGTGACCAGGCCTTGTGGTGGATCAGAGCCTGATCAACCAGGCTGTTACTGTTGGCCGCATGTGGTGAATATTGTAGGAAGTCTGAATAAATGAAGAATGGTTATAATTTGCTGCATTAGTGAAGTGCTGTAAAGCAAAGTACAGTGGACCCCCGGTTAACGATATTTTTTCACTCCAGAAGTATGTTCAGGTGCCAGTACTGACCGAATTTGTTCCCATAAGAATATTGTGAAGTAGATTAGTCCATTTCAGACCCCCAAACATACACGTACAAACGCACTTACATAATTACACTTACATAATTGGTCGCATTCGGAGGTAATCGTTATGCGGGGGTCCACTGTATTGTGAAACAAAGCACTGTAAAGGAAGGCTCTGTAAAGCGAGGCTCTGTAAAGCAAGGCTCTGTAAAGCAAGGCACTGTAAAGCTAGGCCTGCCTGTACTTTGTATTTTTCAGATCCTTCTTGTAGGCTACAGGGTTAGTCCTAAACTTATCAAAAAAAAAAAAGAGACTTAACATAATTTCCTTCCTTGCAGCGTTTAAGCAAAGTGGTTGAGGAGAGAAAGGCTTTCGCCATTGCCACAAGTGAGGAGAACAAGCCTAAAAATCGTTACGACTTTGTCCTGCCATATGACTCCAATCGTGTTATCTTGGCTCCACTCTCCACTAGACCATCTTCTACCTACATCAATGCCTCCTTTGTTACGGTAAGTACAGTGTATTCTTATGCATCATAGTTTCAGAATTTTCAAAGTTCCAAAACCACTTTGAGCCAAGGACTAGACAGTTATCTAAGTTACAAACCACTTTGAGCCAAGGACTGGACAGTTATCAAAGTTACAAACCACTTTGAGCCAAGGACTGGACAGTTATCAAAGTTCCAAAACCACTTTGAGCCAAGGACTAGACAGTTATCAAAGTTCCAAAACCACTTTGAGCCAAGGACTAGACAGTTATCAAAGTTACAAACCACTTTGAGCCAAGGACTGGACAGTTTTTAGTTACAGACCACATTGAGCCAAGGACTCTACAGTTATGCCATAAATTTATTTTTTCTCAGGGCTATGACTTGGCAGAGTCATTCATTGTCACACAAGACCCCATGGAAAACACAATAGCCGACTTTTGGAGAATGGTGTTCGACCAGGAGGTGACAACCATCGTCATGCTGTCAGAGGTCAGACTTCCAAATTTTTTCAGACTTAATTCCAATTTATTTCTTTGAATATAATGGTGTGGACTTTAAACTCGGCCTAAATTTGAATATCCCTTAGGCTGCATAAGCTTGCATATTTTTTGCAGTATATGTAACTTTGTTTTCATATAATTATAGCTATTTTTAACTACATAGAAAACTTATTTCTTTTGAGGTTAGATGTCCTCCAATTTTTCTGAAGCATATACAGTAAGTCCTCGACTTAAACACATTGAGAATCTTCCGTATTGTGTATAATATTATTATATCATTATTGTATATAATATCATTATTATATCATTATGATACACAGTTCAGGAGGTCCTCAACATGATTGTAAGTCGAGGGCTTCCTGTACCAATTCTTCTGAATATTTCGGAGATATTTAGAGGCTAATTAACTTTAAGCCATTTACCAAGACTCATGGTTGTTTATGGTAGATGTTTTTTGTAAAGTAATAGATAAATATTGACAGTTTAATCATGTTTTTCTATATACACTTGTGTATATTTCTCTCTGTGTATAGTTTACATAGCTGTTATTGTATCTATATTTATTCTTATTCTTCAGTGCGGTGTCTACTGTTTACTAGTTATCAGTGGCGTACGGTGCTTACTGTGATGGTGTGTGTTGTGTTACCATGCTGAACCTACTACTCTGCCATAATTATTACTCAGAATACCTATCACAATATTTCTTAACGGTGGACAGAAAATTTGGTTTTTCATTATGATCCATGATTATATTGAGTAAGTTTAATATTTAAGATGAATTTGGCATCTTTGGTGGGTGTGCGGCGCTCACCCAGCACACCCAGAATATACGCCACTGGTAGTTATGTAAGTCATGATTGTGTCCATACCTGTGTGACTGTCTCTCTCTGTCTCCTGTCTGTACCTCTCTCTCTCTTGTCTGTCTATCTATTTGGATTTATGCTTATTCTAAGGGCACAAGTGACTCTTCGAATCCATTTATTTTTTATCGGGTTACTCTGAAGGATGGGTGGAGATGTGTTGCAGTTTTTGAGGTGTAGTGTCGGCATGCCTGCAGTAAGACAGTGATGGAGCGAGTGATTGCAAAGGTGTTTCTTCTTTTTCGGGTCACCCCGCCTCAGTGGGAGACGACAGACTTGTTAATAAAAAAAATAAAAAAAAATGTCGTATATTTTACTTTTTTTATGGCTACCTTTCCTTGGATCAAAACTGATTACTCCACTCCCCAAGCACAGTATTTACACATTTGTAATTGCCTATTTGAATTTGTGGGGGTTGAGCTCAGGCTCTCTGTGCTGACTGATATGATTAAGTATTGTCATATCTGTTGCTGATCCCCTGTATGGAGATCGATTTGACTGTCATTGCTTAATTCTTTTCACTGCTTTCAACAATTTACATTGAACAAATATACTACTGACATTGAACAAATACACTTACATCGAACAAATACACTTTTTTTTTTTTTCAGCAAACCGGCCATTTCTCCACCGAGGCGGGGTGGCCCAAAAAGAAAAACAAAAGTTTCTCTTTTTAACTTTAGTAATGAATACAGGAGTAGGGGTTACTAGCCCCTTGCTCCCAGCATGTTAGTCGCCTCTTACAACACGCATGGCTTACGGAGGAAGAATTCTGTTCCACTTCCCCATAGAGATAAGAGGAAATAAACAAGAACAAGAACTAGAAAGAAAACAGGAGAAAAACCCAGAGGGGTGTATATATATATATATACAGTGGACCCCCGCATAACGATATTAATCCGTTCATGAGAGCTCATTGTTATGCGAAATTATCGTTATGCGGATGAATTTTCCCCATAAGAAATAATGGAAATCAAATTAATCCGTGCAAGACACCCCAAAGTACAAAAAAAGATTATTTTTACCACATGAAATATTATTAATTTTAATACACACAAACTGAAAAAGGCATGCACAATTACATGACACTTACCTTTATTGAAGATCTAGTGATGATTGATGGGATGGGAGGAGGAGAGAGTCTTAATGTTTAGAAGGGGAATCCCCTTCCATTAAGACTTGAGGTGTCAAGTCCTTTTCTGGGGTTACTTCCCTTCTTCTTTTAATGCCACTAGGACCAGCTTCAGAGTCACTGGAGTTCTGTCGCACAACATATCTGTCCATAGTGGCCTGTACCTCTCATTCCTTTATGACTTCCCTAAAGTGTTTCACAACATTGTCAGTGTAATAGTCACCAGCACGGCTTGCAATAGCTGTGTGAGGGTGATTTTCATCCATAAAGGTTTGCACTTTCAGCCACATTGCACAGATTTCCTTAATCTTTGTGTAGAGCAACTTCTTCAATTTCTCTCTCCCCTCCTCCGAACCAGTTTCCTCAGGTCTGGTCTCTTGCTGTTGAAGTTGATCTATCAGCTCATCAGTGGTTAGTTCTTCATTGTCCTCCTCCACCAACTCTTCCACATCATCCCCACTAACCTCCAACCCCAAGGACTTCCCCAATGCCACAATTGATTCCTCAACTGGCATACTCCTCTCAGGGTTAGCCTGAAACCCTTCAAAATCCCTTTGGTCTACACATTCTGGCCACAGTTTCTTCCAAGCAGAGTTCAAGGTCCTCTTAGTCACTCCCTCCCAAGCCTTACCTATAAGGTTTACACAATTGAGGATATTAAAGTGATCTCTCCAAAACTCTCAGAGTCAGTTGAGTTTCTGAGGTCACTACAAAGCACCTTTCAAACAGAGCTTTTGTGTACAGTTTTTTGAAGTTTGCAATAACCTGCTGGTCCATGGGCTGCAGGAGAGGAGTGGTATTAGGAGGCAAAAACTTCACCTTAATGAACTTCATGTCTCCATAAAGTCGCTCTGCCACGTCTGTAGGATGACCAGGGGCATTGTCTAAAACCAGGAGGCACTTAAGGTCTAATTTATTTTCAGTTAGGTAATAATCTTTCACATTGGGGGCAAATGCATGGTGTAACCAGTCATAGAAAAAGTCCCTAGTGACCCATGCCTTACTGTTTGCCCTCCACAGCACACACAAATTAGCCTTGAGGATATTCTTTTGTCTGAACGATACACTAATAAAGGCTTCACTTTGCAATCACCACTAGCATATAGGCTTATGTCCTGGGAGTGCCTTTTCCTCCTGAGTAATGTAAGTCCTACTTGGCATTTTCTTCCAAAACAGGCCTGTTTCATCACAAATTAAACACTTGTTCAAGTTTCAGTCCTTAACTTTCTATATACTCCTTGAATTCCTGCACATATTTTTCAGCTGCTTTGTGGTCCGAACTGGCAGCCTCACCATGCCTTATCACACTATGTATGACACTACGCTTCTTAAATCTCTCAAACCAACCTTTGCTGGCCTTAAATTCACTCAAATCATCACTAGTTGCAGGCATTTTTTTAATTAAATCCTGATGCACTTCCTAGCCTTTTCACTTATGATCACTTGAGAGATGCTATCTCCTGCTATCTGTTTTTCATTTATCCACACCAATAAGAGTCTCTCAACATCTTCCATCACTTGCTATCTCTGTTTCCAAAACACAGTTGAACCTTTGGCAAGAACAGCTTCCTTGATTGCCTTTTTGTTGCCCACAATAGTAGCGATGGTTGACTGGGGTTTATTAAAACAACCTGGCCAGCTCGGAGACACGCACTCCACTTTCATACTTATCAATGATCTCTTTCTTCATCTCTATAGTAATTCTCACCCTTATTCCTGTAGGGTTGGCACTAGAAGCTTTCTTGGGGCCCATGGTCACTTACTTTGCAGATAAAATCACCAAAAACACTGTAAAAATACGAAATATTCCGATTGTATGCTTGGATGTTACCACGGAGGCTGGCTGGTAAACAATGCCACTGGCGGAACATGTGAGGCTGGCTAAGGCCGCACATTGAGACGCATCTCGGACGAACAGCGTTGAGCGGGTTTTTTAGCGGTATGCGAGGCAAAATCTTAGCGATAAAACGTATCGGTATGCGGATTTAACGTTATGTAAGGCCAACGGTATGCGGGGGTCCACTGTATATGCTTGTACATGTATGTGTAGTGTGACCGAAGTGTGAGTAGAAGTAGCAAGACATACCTGAAATCTTGCATGTTTATGAGACAAACAAAAACACCAGCAATCCTACCATCATGTAAGACAATTACAGGCTTTTATTTTACACTCACTTGGCAGGACGGTAGTACCTCCCTGGGTGGTTGCTGTCTACCAACCATACTGCCTAGAGCAAATACATTTACACTGAACAAATATACTTTTTTTTTTTTCCTACAAGTCGGCCGTCACTTACACTAAGCAAATACATTGAACAAATACACTTACATTGAACAAATACTTCCTAATATCCTTGTCTCCCCTTGGGGTATATAATTTCCACTATGGCTCTTGTGCTTTTCTTGTAACTTCCTGGAATTACTGAGAAAGTACTTATGAAGTGACAGGAATAATAGTAAGAAACCCACATACAAGAAGGAAATAAAATTCTGTTTATATTTTAACCTAATTCTGAAGTCCCTTTTAAAATCTGCTGAAGAGGACCTCAGACTGAGACCAAAATATACAGGATAACCTTTCCCTGTGATGTAAATGTTTTAGATAACCGAGAGGTTGAAGAATTGGACACTTTTGCAGGTAATGAGTCCCTTATTCCTCGGTCAGCGTGTTCAGTCTATCAATCTTGAGGAAAGATTGATGGACTGAACACATTGACGGAGGGACCGATTACCTCAAGCACCTTGTCTTCCACCATTCATCAGTGTACCTGACTGAGGAAGTCACTTGGTGGTCTACCTGGAGTCTACTTGGAGGGTATTCCGGGGACAAACGCCCCCAAGGCCTGGTCTATGACCAAGCCTCCTGGTGGATCAGGACCTGATCAACGAGGCTGTTACTGCTGGCCGCACGTGGTGAAACATTTTCATTCAGAAGATTCCCAGATATGGCAAAAATGTCCAAAATCTTCAAGGTTTCCTTGTCTTGTCTTTGTGGAC